TGGACTCAGTTTTAGATCCTTATACAACCCACATTGAATTTCCTTTGGATTAGGGCTCTAAACTCTTCCTCCCTCTCTTAATCAGTGGTGGGTTTCAAAAATTTTTAATTCTGTGGTTCTGTGGACATAGCTTGGTGGGCGTGGCATGGCTTGGTGGGCGTGGCTTGGTAGGCATGGCAGGGGAAGGATATTGTAAAATCCCCATTCCCTCCCCACTCCAGGGGAAGGTTACTGCAAAATCCCCATTTCCTCCCAATCAGCTGGGACTTGGGAGGCAGAGAATAGATGGGGATGGGGCCAGTCAGAATTTTTACTACCGGTTCTCCAAACTACTCAAAATTTCCGCTACCGGTTCTCCAGAACTGGTCAGAACTGTGAAAGTCAAATTTGTAGGCTTCCACTCCGTGTGGAATGGAATTAATTAGTTAATTCTATGATAAAAAAAAATTCTGTTTTTGCAGAGAGCGGCTTTGGGGGTGGGTCAAGAGTTGCTGGAACAGGAATGTAATTATATCAAACACTTTTCTCATTTCTGCAGTGATTTGAGGTAGGGCTGGTAGGCTTGTTTGGCCAACAGCAAGTGCCTTGTATCTACTGTATTCTAAGAGTCGAAGCTCAGTTATGTGATCACTTGCTTCTGAATTTCAGATATTGAATCTGTTTTGAAATGAGAAGGGAAGGCTACAGAAACTAGGGAAAGGGGGTTAGTAGAGGGCCTCTTGCAGTTTTGGGTCTGTGGCAGGGGTGGGCTTCAAAAAATTAGCAAGGGGTTCTCTGCCCGGTTGCTGGGTGGGCGTGGTCATGGTGGGCGTGGCCTAGTTGGCCTCCTGCACCATGGCGGGGGGCGGTTTGCCTTCCCCGGGCTCTGGAGGCTTTCCTCGAACCTCAAGGAGGGCAAAAATGGACTCCCCAGGCTCCAGAGGCCCTCTGGAGGCAGGAAACAGGCCCATTTCTGGCCTTCCTGAACTTCCAGTAGGCCTGTTTTTTGCCCTTCCCAAGCCTCCACGTGCACCCTGCACTTACCTGCATTCAAAATGGGCCGCGTGGGGACTCCTGGGAGAGGTGGGGTGAGGTGGGTGGGGCAGGGCAGCCAGGAGTGGGATTTGGGGGTTCTCTGAACTGCACAGAATCTTAGCTAGAGGTTCTCCCGAACCCCTGCGAACCCCCAGAAGCCCACCTCTGATCTGTGGGCACTCTTGATCTGTGGGTCAGTGTTTTAAATCTTGGGTCCTTTAAAATCTCTGCCAAACTAACTGTTTTAATTTCAGATGAACTGAAGGTTGCATTGAAGATCTTGCATCACAAAGTCGATCAAATGAAAAGGCAGAATTACGAAGTCTTCTAGATAATATCAATGAATTCTGTCCTTTTAATTGAAGCTGTAATTTTCATGATAGATGACCGGGAGTGTGGCTACCGAATGAGATGACAAAATCTTTTTTAAAAATAAAATGTATTGTGATAACCCTAATGTTGCTTATTTTTAATTGTAATCAACAGATGCAAGTTTGAATCAAATGTGACCCCAAAATGCCACAAGCTTTGTTTCTCAGATTAATCTTATGTAATATAGTCAATCTGAAGTCTTCAGTTTAGTGCATGTAATTTCTAAGTAATTGAGCAAATAATGTAGAAATGAATGTAACAAGGCCAACTAGTGGGTAATTTGGAAATATATGCAGAATATCTAGCAACTGATTGGATTTTAATTGTGATCAATGAAACATGTTGGAAGAATGGGAACAATCCTAAAAAACCTGTGGATCATTTGGGGGTGAAAAATTAACCCCACCTTACTGGTTTGGGAAAAATACTGAATTATTATTAATTATAATAATTGTGAAATGGGTAGCAAATAAATTTAATGATTCTTAATAAATAATGGTTCTTTCTGTGTGCAATTAATTGCCATTCTTCTTCTTGTTATTGTGCCATATCTGTCATCGTATGTTGGCGATCATGTTGGTAATCCTATTTTTGTCAACAGCCGTATGAAAAAGTGCTGTTGAGTTTTGTCCAAACCAGTCCCTTAGATTTTGAAGCCGTAATGTTCTTCTTCTGCCTGGACCTCGTTTGCCTTCAATCTTTCCTTGGAGGATTAAGTGAAGGATGCCATATTTTTCTGAGTGTCGCATCACATGTCCAAAATGTTTTAACCAGTGGTGGGTTGCTACCGGTTCTCCCTGGTTCTTGCGAACTGGTAATGGAAATTTTGAGTAGTTAGGAGAACTGGTAAATACCACCTCTGCCTGGCCCAGCCCCCAATCGATTTGCTGCCTCCCAACTCCCAGCTGATTGGCTAGAAGGAAAAAATCAGGGCTCACTTGACAAAGAAGAGGAAAAAAACCAAGACACTGTTGCTTTAAATTGAGAAGCCAAGAAGTCTCACAACTGATCAGCTAGAAGGAAAAAATCAGGACTCCTTCTCAGCCAGGGAAAAAAAAAAAAGACTCCGTCACTTTAAATTGAGAAACCAAGACACAGCTGCAGGAAGGAGGTTTTCGCTTGCAGAAGCGAAGTGACATTCAGCAGTTTGTTTCTGGGTCAGCTGAACAACAACTGGATAAGAGGAGGGATTCTTATATGGTTCTATGTTTCTGAAGTTTTGGGGTTTGTGCAACATGGGCTTTGTGTTTCTAAGAGTTTGGGTGATTTCCATTGTGAAATATCCTGTCTTGAATGAGTTTTCTGCCTGCTTGTAAATGGAGCCGAACTTCCAGCTTCCACTTTCTATTATCTCTAAACACCGGTAGCTGTTTTCTTCTTACAAAGTTTCCTTTATGCAGCTGGCAGGAATGTGGAATGAGTATCAGGCAGGTTCCTTGTTAGCAGCTTGATTTTTCCTTGCTTTTCTTATGAGTAATATTTTATTTGGGGAAATGAAGAGGGGGGGTTGATTCCTTCCCAGAGCAGGTTAGTGGGGTGGGGAGGGAATGGGGATTTTGAAGTATCCTTCCCCTGTCATGCCCGCCACGCCCACCAAGCCACGCCCACAAAACTGCATAAGTCCATCTTAATATGCTATTCCTGGTATGTGATGTTTTGTATACATACAGAGAAAGAAGTATTCTTGTAATCTTTGACTTTTAGACTTGCTGTCAGACATCAGCCAAAATACTAATGTCTGTTTTGAACAATATGCAGGTTGTATTACACGAATGGCTATTTTATTTGTGAAATTATGACTGAAATATTTCTGCACCTATATTGGTTCACACTGTCAGGAAGTTTCTCCTTAGTTTTAGGTTGCTTCTCTCTTTGTTCAGTTTCCATCCATCGCTTCTTGTTTTGCCTTCTGGTGCTTTGGAAAATACATTGCCCCCCCCTTCTTTCCGGCAGCCCCTTAAAAACCTGTTGCCTATCACACTCTTGGGCAAAGCATGTGAGCCATTTCCTCCTTTCAGTGGTCCATGAAAATGCATCTATAGTATATCGATAATAAAGTTGAAAAAAGGTGAACAACATTTTTACAGAACTATAGATACGTTGAGGCTGGGTGTGACAAGGAATGGCTGGGAGGGGAGAGGCCAGGTGAGGCACCCCTTAACGTGAGTGACATTGAGTTGGCCACGCCTACCCAGTCACATGACCATCAAGCCATGCCCACTGTCACATGACCATCAAGCCACGCCCACAAAATGAGCCACGCCCACAGAACCGGTAGTAAAAAAATTTAGAACCCACCCCTGATTCTAACTTTTTAGTAGCTTTAATGATTTAATGATAATGGGTAAGGGGTTTTAAATTGGGGGAAGCCAATAAATTTAATTTTGTTTTATAGTATTTTAATGTTTATATTGTATGTTTTTTAATTTTGGCTGTTCACCGCCCCGAGTCCTTCGGGAGAAGGGGCGGTATAAAAATTTTAATAAATAAATAAATAAATTTCCCTTGGCTTTCCCAGGCGGCTTATTGCCTCCTCATTTCTGATTTTGTCAACCCATCTTAAACGTAACAGCCTTCTGTAAATCCACATTTCAAATGCTTCTAGTTTCTTCAAGTGTTTTTCTGTCAGAGACCAACTCTCTACTCCATAGAGCACGATAGAAAAGATGTAACATCTGACAAGCCTGATTTTCGGTCTTAGGCTTATGTCGTGACTGCAGAAGATCTTTTTCATTTTGAAGAATGCTGTTTGAGCTTTCTCTAGCCTTGTCTTTACTTCACTGATCATGTCCCAGCTTCCATGTCAATTAAAACCGAGGTACGTGATCCTTTCAACTTTTTGAAGTTGAACTTTCAACTTCAATAAATTCCTTCTGAATTTATCCGTGGTAAATTAATGGGCTGTAAAAGCTGTAAATTTTCCTCCCGGTAGTAAGTGGAGGCAAAGCAGTTATTTTTCTAAATTCCTGCACTTTCAGTAGTGTTATTTTAAAATAGTATGCAGGTTTTCCTTCTTAGTTCTTTAAAGTTAATATCATTTTGTTAAAAAAAATTAAGCTTTTTTTAAAAAAATAAAAGTGATGTATAGTCCCTAAATCAGAGTTTCAAAATTCTCATGCCACAAAAGTTGCTTAAAAAAATAAATTCCCAAATCTGTTTCCAAATTCCAGAAGACCTCTGGAGCCCGGGGAAGGCTGTTTACGCCCTCCCAGAGGCTCGAGGAAAGCCACTGGAGCCTGGGGAGGCTGAAAAATGGGTCTACTGAAAATACCAGAAGTCCAAAAATGGGCCCATTTCTGGCCTCCGTAGCCCAAGGGAGACTGTTTTCGCCTTCCTGGATGCTCGAGGAAAGCTTCCGGAGTCTTTTTAGGGTGAAAACAGCTCCTCCTCATGGTGCAGGAGGTCAATTAGGCCATGCCCACCATGGCCACGCCCACCCAACAACCGGGCAGAAAACCATTTGCTAAAATTTCTGAATCCCACCCCTGAATCCATCCCAAAACAGCACAGGAGTGGAAGACTTTTCATTATATTCTATGGCAGTATTTAGGACCACAATCTGCAACAACGCCAGCATCAAAACTGTTCTTCATACACATAAATCAAACAAGTGATGTTTGTGCACTTGGGATTTATTTTTTATTTTTTTTATTTTCACAAAGGTTTTCCCCACACCAAGGAGAGCAAACTATTCTGCTACAGGAAACAAAATCAAGCCATAGGCTGTATCTACTGCCCCCATCACCATCAAGCGAGCAGACTGGATCATTGGATGTCCTTGAGCAGAGCAATCTTCTTCATATTGCAAACATGTAGAAAGCTGCTGGACCTTTCCAGCATATTCAGCTATTTCCATCCTTCTTTCCATCATTTCCCATTTCGGCCTCACTTTTGGGTTTCAGATATAACATGAAGTGGGAGAAAGGGAAAGAATTAATAAACGAAACTTTTGAAAAGATAATTGCTAAGTGATTATAGGAATAGAGCTCTGTTGTGCTCACCAAGATTGATTTTTTTTTAAAAAAAAAAAATCTGCCAGACTTTTGAGACTAACAATTATGACTCAACCAGCGCAATGTGTTCCTCTGTTAGTTAATAAGCACTTATAATTCTTCTTTCAAGGAATTTGCATAATTAAGGAACTAATCATCCCCTTTTCTTCCTCATTTCATCTCAATGAATCCCACGATATATGGATAGATGATAGATAGATAGATAGATAGATAGATAGATAGATAGATAGATAGATAGACAGACAGACAGACAGACGGATAGATGGATAGACGGATAGACGGATAGACGGATAGACGGATAGATGATAGATAGATAGATAGATAGATAGATAGATAGATAGATAGACAGACAGACAGACAGACAGACAGACGGATAGATGGATAGACGGATAGACGGATAGATGATAGATAGATAGATAGATAGATAGATAGATAGATAGATAGATAGACAGACAGACAGACAGACGGATAGATGGATAGACGGATAGACAGATAGACGGATAGATGATAGATAGATAGATAGATAGATAGATAGATAGATAGATAGATAGACAGACAGACAGACAGACGGATAGATGGATAGACGGATAGACAGATAGACGGATAGATGATAGATAGATAGATAGATAGATAGATAGATAGATAGATAGATAGATAGATAGATAGACGGATAGATGTAGATGATAGATGATAGATAGCTAGATAGCTAGATAGATGGCTGGATGGCTGGCTGGATGAATAGCTAGATAGATGGATAGATGATAGATAGATAGATAGATAGATAGATAGATAGATAGATAGATATACAGATAGATGATAGATAGATAGATAGATAGATAGATAGATAGATAGATAGATAGATAGACGGATAGATGGATAGACGGATAGACGGATAGACAGATAGATGGATAGATGGCAAACCTATGGCACGCATGCCACAGGTGGCACGCCGAGCCATTTCTGCGGGCACGTGAACTGTCATCCTAGGTCAGCTCCACCGTGCATGCACGCGCCTCCTGCCAAAACATTTTAGCCCTGCCTGCTGTGTTTGTTTGTTTGTTTGTTTGTTTGTTTGTTTGTTTATTTATTTACCCACCTCGGAAGGATGGAAGGCTGAGTCAACCTTGAGCCGGTGAGATTTGATCCGCTGATCTGCTGAACTAGCAGTCAGCTGAAGTAGCTGCAGTACTGCACTCTAACCACTGTGCCACCTCGGCTCTTATTTATTTTATTTTTATTTTTATTTATTTTAGTGTTTATTCTCTGAGCACTGTAGAGATGCTTTTGGTGTAGGAGGAAAGGAGGGCTTGTTGAGGAATGGCAGAAAAGCAAAAAAAAAAAAAAAAGCTTCTTACCTGCGTTCCACCTCCACCTTGCGTGCCCTAAAAAGGAATTAAAAGGTAACAGTTCTAATCTGACATCATCCATGACTTCTCAAAACTACCATCTCATAATTGAAGGGTTTCTTTCTCTAGATTAAAAAAAAAATATGTGTTCTTTCACACAACCTGGAATGAAAGGGGCCTTTTTGGTGTCTGGCCGATGAATTTCACAACAACCTTAAATCTGCATGTTTTTCAACTTAATTTGGATTTCTTTCAATTGTTCTGGGTTTACTATGTTGTCTCTATGGTAGCTGTTTGACCATTTAATATACTATGAAACCTGAAGAATAATGATTAGACGAATAGGCGGAATAAGTATTTTGTATATGTTCTATATATAACACAATTTGGTAAACTAGGTTACCAAACTATCATTTGCTTTATTAAATACTTTAGATCACTTCAAAGACCTCCCTTTTTGGATTCTATGGACATAATAATGCACATCGCATCTCTTGTCACCTTTCCCACATGGACATTCAGAGCTCATCTAATTCTCCCCCTTTGCTGTTCAGTCCCCAGGAAGAATCTTCACCCCAATGTTGCTGCTGAATCCATTTTTAAGGGATCAGTCAACGGAAAGGAAGGTTTAAAAAGGCCAGATATTTTGTCTGAGTTAGTATTCAGCTGGTTCAGACCGGTTCGCCCAAACCTGTAGGGGAAATAGCAGGTGGGTCGGCCCAACCGTCCGGCTCTATGCCATCCTATTTAGGCATGATTTTGAGGCCAGGCTCATTATTTTATTTTTATTAAATTTTTACACCGCCCTTCTCCTGCTGGACTCATGCCCGGAAGACGTGCGCACAAGCAAAGCGCATGCACGGAAGACTGGGTGCATGCGTGAAAGGCAGGCACAAGCGTGAACCGGGTGCACACACGCACAAAGCAAGGTTGCGCACGCGGGGCGAACCAGTACAAACCTAATGTGAAACCCACCGCTGATTTTGACCCTCTCTCCTGTGATTATTTCTGATGGTGTTTTTTGGTATAGGAGGAAGAGAAGTAAATGGTGTACCCATGGAAGAAGAATATGAAAGAAAGGAATGGCAGAAAATAAATAAAAGCTACTTACTGACATTCTACCTCCATTCGCAGCATTTGTGTCCTAAAAGGGAAGCAAAAGTTAACTGTTCTAGTTGATATGACTTCTTCAGCCATGCCATCGCTACCACCTTCAGTATCTGGTATATGAACTCCTTCATTTTCCAGATAAAATACAGGAGTTCTTTCACCCAACAATGAATGAAAGGGGCCTAAAGGATGCATTGTAGGTGCATTAAAGTGCTGGGATTCTATACACAAGGAATAACAGAGGACATCAAGGAAATGGAAGGCATTAAATCAGTGGTGAAATCCTCCAAGGATTGTCACTGGTTCGCTGCACACACATGTGCGGTTTGAGCCAAATGCGCACTGCATGCGCATGTGCACCACGCACCAAATGCAAGCTTCATGTGGAAAAAGAAGACTTCACTAGGTAAGTAAAACAGCAACGGGTGTGTGTGTGTGTGTGTGAACAGCTGTGCTGCGTGATTTAGCTTCGTTAGAAAGCAGGTTTTCCTTCTTTCTAGCAAAGTTAAATCGTGCGGCACAGCTGATCGTCGGAAATACCAGTTCGGATGAAACGGTAGCTTTTTTCTTACTACTGGTTCGCCCGAACCAGTAGTTTTTATCACTACTGGTTCGCCTGAAAAGGGGCGAACTGGTAGCATTTCACCCCTGCATTAAATATATATTTAATATTTCTTCCCTCTTAAATATCGGGCCCTACAGGGTGAGAGCTGCATCCAGTTTTTGACCTTCTGAAGGGGCTTGAAAACCTGGCTCAGCCAATTAGCCTGAGGCACCAATGAGGGGGTACCATACTGGAGGTGGAGAGTGGCCTGAGATAAGACTCCGCTTCCAACCTCTTGCTTTATTCCTAGCCATCTTTGTTAATTTAAAGTCAATTTTACAATTAATATTTACTATTTACTAAGAGCTGTGGTGGCACAGTGATTAGAATGCAGTATTGCAGGCTAACTCGGCATTTCATTGCCAGGAGTTCGATCCTGACCAACAGAACAGGGGTGAGTACTTATCTTTACTACTGGTTCACAATGGGAGCGTGTGCACTTCTGCGCAGGTGCAGATCACCAAATACGACGTGTCAGGATGGGTAAGCGGAGCCTCCCACCGTTTTTACTACCAGTTCTCAAGAACCAGACAGAACTGGGAGCAACCCACCACTGCAACAGAAGGTTGACTCAGCCTTCCATTCTTCTGAGGTCAGTAAAATGACTCAGATTGTTGGGGGCAATATATTGACTCTATAAACCGCTTAGAGAAGGCTGTAAAGCACTATGAAGCGGTATATAAGTCTAAGTGCTAGTGCTATTGTTTTAATATGTAATGCTTTATCTTGTTCTTTTTACTTGGTTTTAAGCTGCCTAGAGTCAACCTCTTGGTGACATGGGTGGCATATAAGTTTAATACATAAATAATGTTGACTTACCCCTTGACCACCACTTCTGAGACCTCCTGAACTCTGCAAGAAAGAGAGAGAAAAATCACCCTGGATAATAAATGTCTTTCTAATTATTTTGTCATATTTTCAGCACATGAGGAGGAGGCCATGCCTGGTTCACTGATGTTTACACAAATAAAATAGGAGGAGAGCTTTGAAGGCTGCAAAGGGTATATTTTATTTTCATTTAATTTATTCAATTTATTCCTTGCAGACATGTCCTTGCTCTTTCTATATACAGCAGCCCAAATCACTCATGGTGAACCTAAATGGCTTAGAAAGATAAAACCCCCAATATAAAAATCGATAATCCCCCAATCAGCCTGTGACAACAAGCAGATTTGTGTGTGAGTGTATGTGTATGTGTGTATATGCATGTATATGTATATGATGTATATGTATACCGTATGTATATGTACTGTATTTTTCGGAGTATAAGACACACCTTTTCCCCCCAAAAAAGAGAGTGAAAATCTGGGTGCGTCTTATACTCCGAATGTAGCCCCGTCCGGCTTCTCAAACGGAGGTTTCAGAGGCTGAAAAAAGCATCAGAAAAGAAGTTTCAGAAAAGAAGCCCCCAAAGAGAGCTTCAGAAAAGAAGCCCCCAAACAGAGTTTCAGAGGCTTTTTTTCTGAAGCTGTTTTGGAGGTTTTCAGAGGCAAGAAAAAAAGTTTTTTCTGAAACAGAGTTTCAGAAGTTTCAGAGGCAGAAAAAAAAGCAAAAAAAAAAGCAAGGCACAGAGTTCACAACCAAGGAACCTCTTGCTAAAATTCACCTCTGGGAACAGCTGATTGGGGGTGTTCTGGGAGACCAATCCACCTGCCAATAAGCTTTTTTCTTATTTTCCTCCCCAAAAACTAAGGTGCGTCTTATACTCCGGTGCGTCTTGTATCTGATGTAATCTGATGTGAAATTTTAATTTTAATCTGGTTCGCTGAACCAGTTGTTTCAAGGCTGGTTGACCCCACCCACACTGCTCCGCCTCTCCCAGTAGTCTCCACGCAGCCCATTTTGGATGCCAGGTAAGTGCAGGGTGTGTGCGGAGGCTCTGGGAGAGCAAAAAACCGGGCCTACCGGAAGTCCAGAAACGGACCAGTTTCCGGCCTCCCGAGGCCTCTAGTGCCTGGAGGAGGCCATTTTTGCCTTCCTGGAGGCTCCAGGAAAGCCTCTGGAGCCTGGGGAGGGTGAACAATGGGCCTACTGGAAGTATCGGAAGTCCAGAAATGGGCCCATTTCCAGCCTCCGGAGGGCCTCTGGTGCCTGGGGGAGGCCATTTTTGCCCTCCCGGAGGCTCGAGAAAAACCTCCAGAGCCTTGGGAGGGCAAAAATGCCCCTCTGCTGTGGTGCAAGAGGCTGCATAGGCCACACCCCCATGACCATGCCCACCCAGCAACCGGGCAGCGGTTTTATATACAGATTTCTCTATCCATTGAGATCTCCTTTACATGATTTCTCAGCTTCCAAGTCAAGCTTTCTCTGTTTCCAGGTCTTAAAATAAGTTTTTTCCAACCATCCTAGCTTCCTAGCTTCTCCAACGTGTCCATGTTTTCTCTACAAACATTACTACATTTAACCAAATTCCTCCTGGAATATAGGGAAATGCTTTGAAGGAGTGAGCCTCAAGATGATGGCCGTTGTTATATTCACAAAAAAAAAAAATCAGAGAAGACTTCAAGGAAATGAGAGACATTAAATGCATATTGACTTACCCCCTGGTTATTCGACCGTCTTCCACTCCTTCTCCTATTAACTGAATTTTGCTGCTAGGAGAATAACAGGTCAGTCTGGATTATGAACGCTTTTGAAACCATGTTGTGATAATTCATGTTCTGGCACATCTGTAAACCTGGGCCATTACAGTTTATTAAAATAAAATGGACACTAACTATGGTTCAGAAAGCAGAAATTGGACTTTCTGAGTATCTCACTGCTATGCAACCTGCATCGAGGACTATTTGTGTTACTAATGAAAAACTAGGGGTTTTGAAATCCACAGGAGATATACAGAGATAGAGATAGAAAATTGGAAGGGACAATGGAGGTCTTCTAGTCTAACCCTCTGCTCAAGCAAGAATCTTATATCATTCCAGACCAATGATTGTCCAAGCACTTCTTGAAAACCTCCAGTGATGAAGCATCCACAACTTCTGGAGGCAAGTTATTTCTAATGACTAACTGTTCTCACTGTCAGGAAATTTCTCCTTAGGTCTGGGTTGGATCTCTCTTGAATGATCTTCCACACGTTACTTCTTGTCCTGCCCTCAGACACTTTGAAGAATAAGTTGACCCCCTCTTCTCTGTGATAGCCCCTCAGATATAGGACGCCCTATGATTGCATATTAACAGATTAAAAGAGTTGGAAGGGACCTTATAGGTCATCTAGTCCAACCCCCCACTCAAGCAGGAGACCCTACACCATTTCTGACAAATGGCAGTCCAGTCTTTTCTTGAAAGCCTCTAGTGATGAAGCTCCCACAACTTCTGAAAGCAACTTCTGTTCCATTCTGTTCTCACTGTCAGAAAGTTCCTCCTCATTCCTAGATTGAATCTCTCCTTGGTCAGTTTCCATCCATTATTCCTTGTCTGGCCTTCAGGTGCTTTGGAAAAAAGCTTGATCCCATCCTCTCTGTGGCAGTCCCTCAAATATTGGAACACTGCTATCATGTCTCCCCTGGTCCTTCTCTTCACTAGACTAGTCATGCCCAGTTCCTGCAACCGTTCTTCATATGTTTTAGCCTCCAGTCCCCTAATCATCTTTGTTGCTCTTCTCTGCACTCTTTCTAGAGTCTCCACATCTTTTTTACATCGTGGCGACCAAAATTGGATGCAGTATTCCAAGTGTGGCCTTACCAAGGCCTTATAAAGTGGTATTAACACTTCACGTGATCTTGATTCTATCCCTCTGTTTATGCAGCCTAGAACTGTGTTGGCTTTTTTGGCAGCTGCTGCACACGGCTGGCTCCTATTTAAGTGATTGTTCACTAGGACTCCAAGATCCCTTTCACAGTTACTACTATTGAGCAAGGTACCACATATACTGTACCTGTGCATTTTGTTTTTCTTGCCTAAACGTAGAACCTTACTTTTTTCACCATTGAATTTCATTTTGTGAGATAGCGCCCAATGTTCAAGTCTGTCAAGGTCCTTCTGTATCTTAAGTGTATCTTCTGGAGTATTCCTGCTAGCTTGGTGTCGTCTGCAAATTTGATGAGTTCCCCATCTATCCCCTCCTCCAAGTCATTGAGGAAGATATTGAAGAGTACTGAGCCTAAAACAGAGCCCTGAGGTGCCCCACTGCATACCTCCCTCCATGTAGACGAAAGAAAGGAATAGCCAACGTTGCACAAAAGCTACTTACTAGTTGTAGAGCATTTTTGAGTGTCTCCTAAAATGGGGGGAGGGAAAAGATATCTTTATAATGACTTGGTGGCAGTGTATTCTATCAGCAATTGTGAGGATCAGGCCTGGGCCATTACAATTTCTTCAGATGAATAGTTAGACCCTCAAGGGCCACAGAGGGTGTTAATGTGAATGGGAGAGACACAGCAGACCTATTGCCCGAAGAAATGGCTGCTTTAAAAATATTCTGCACAGAGCAATAGCAATAGCACTTAAACTTATATACCGTTTCACAGTGCTTTACAGCCCTCTCTAAGCAGTTTACAGAGTCAGCCTATTGCCCCCAACAATCTGGATCCTCATTTTACCCACCTCAGAAGGATGGAAGGCTGAGTCAACCGTGAGCCAGTGAGATTCGAACTGCCAAATTGCAGGCAGCCAGCAATCAGCAGAAGTAGCCTGCAGTACTGCACTCTAAGCACTGCACCACTCAGGCTCTTAAACCCACACTGCTCTCATCATGCCATAATTCCCATTTTCCATATTATATATCCATATCCTACATTTATATTTATCTTGGGTTGTCTGGGCCTTGTCGCAGGCATGTTTAGCTGGTTTTGTTTGCTTAGTAGAGAAAACTTTCCACTCATTTACTAAATGCTTTACTAGCTGGAGTAAAAAGCTGGAATAAAAGCTGAACCTCTCAAGTGGTGAAATTAAAACTTTTTAAAGTTAAAAATTGATTTAAAAGTAGAAAGAGTATTTTAAAAAGAGTAAAAATAGAGTGTAAAAAAGAATGCAAAGCCCTAACCTGCTGCTCACTGTCATCATCTTGGGCTGTAGGAAGCTCTTATATTGATAATTATATTTACATTTTCATTCCTCAGAGAGAAAACATGCCTTTCTTATTACAACATAGAGTGATTGAGATCAAAGAGACACAAGTTAATTAAGACTGTTCTGCGAGGGTTTCATTTTGATTTTAGGAACAAAGGGTTTGGGGCATGGTTTTTTTTCCCCCTTTATTTATTTCTTCATTTAATTAATTCCTTTAAAAGACAGATATTTATTTATTTATTTAATATAACTTATATGCCGCCCTATCTCCATAGGACTCCATAGGACTCAGGGCAGCTCACAACAATTAAAACAAACCAATAACCAGATATGGTCACGCATCTTTACGCACAAATCTGGGTGAAATTCTGAGTTCCATTACCTAACTATTTTTCAAACCTGGCAACTTTAAGGAGTATGGACTTCAAAGAATTCCCCATCCAGCATGGTTCGAGTTAAATTCTATGCATCTGCTGTAAACCTAGTTTGAAGAACTACCGTGTTTTCCCAAAAATAAGACCGGGGCTTATATTAATTTTTGCTCCAAAAGACACATTAGGGTTTATTTTCTGGTTAGGTCTTATTTTGGGGAAAATATGGCACTAAATGCACCCATCTGGCTGACAATCTTAACTGGGGCTTATTTTGGGGGTACAGTTTATATTACGAGTATCCTGAAAAATCATGCTAGGACTTATTTTCCAGTTGGATCTTATTTTGGGGAAAACAGGGTAGTTCATCTAGTTTGAAAAATACTGCATACATAGGAAGAGGCCTTAAAGAGGCCTGGTAGAATGGGCAGATTGGATAAAGTAGGGAGATACCTTTATTAAAAAAATGCAAATATTTATGGAATGTCCTGCCCTCTTCTTTCTTCTAAGCTTCAGAAAAGACCTGTGAAGCCAGAATCTTTCAAATTCTGACAATAGTCATAATGATGCTCTCCTAAAAAAAATATTCCCAAAAGACATTTCAGAATTATTTCTGAAATGTGTGTAAATGCTTGGGGGGTTGGGAGTGAGTCTCAAGAAAATGACTGATTACATCTAAGAAGGATAACACAGAAAAAAAAATAGAAGAAAGAGTACTTACAATTAGTTTAGTCACCTCTGTGCCATGCTGAGCATTCTCAATAATAGGTAATAACTTTTTTGCAAGTACCTATAAGGAGCAAGAAAAACAATTATCCCCTTTTTGAATTCCTTAATAATATCAAACACCAGTGGTGAATTTCAAAATTTTTTACTACCGGTTCTGTGGGCATGGCTTGGTGGGTGTGGCAGGGGAAGGATACTGTAAAATCTCCATTCCCACCCACTCCAGGGGAAGGATACTCTGAAATCTCCATTCCCTTCCCACTCTAGGGGAAGGTTACTGCAAAATCCCCATTTCCTCCCAATCAGTTGGGATCTGCGAGGCAAAGAATAGATGGGGGTGGGGCCAGTCAGAATTTTTACTACCAGTTCTCCGAACTACTCAAAATTTCCACTACCGGTTCTCCAGAACTGGTCAGAACGTGCTGAAACCCACCTCTGTCAAACACGGTTGGTATTATTTCTATACCTCTTGGAAATAATGCTCTTTTATTATCCTCTTTTATAGCTTCCTTCATTAACCATGTGACATTATTCCTTTTCAAGGACAACAAAGTCAAATTGGGTTTCCAAAACATATGCTGATAAAATAAATCCTTGGAAGGGAATTGAGTAAAGACATCTTACTATCAAAATTTGAACGGACAGAAAGAGTATTTGAGCCAACAATTGACCATTTTGCGAAAGGAAAAACCCCAAGCAGGGAAAAGTAAATTTGAAGCAACCCTACCCATCCAAAAAGCATCCCTTGGGGACAATCCAAAATACAACTTTCTCCCTTTGCTACTCAGTACCCAGCAATACCATCACTCCATCACTTTGGGAGTTGGTGTTGTCATAAGGTATATAGAAGGTATTATAAGCTGCTTTAAAAAGGAAAATGAACAGCTGAAATGTCTATGGAGATTCTCAGTCATCCAGGTCATGGTTTTCCTAAAGGTACTTTCTCAAGAGGCAACTGGACTTTCTGATTTTTCTCTGAAGACGTTTTGCTTCTCATCCAAGAAGGTTCTTCAGCTCTGACTGGATGGTGTGGAATGGAAAGATTTAGATTCCTTGCAGATGGCTAGTCATTTGCATCCTTTTATAGATTAGTTGAGGCAATTTGGAGGTTGCTCTGTGTCCTCAGGGTCACCTGAGTAGTGCAAATGGGTGTGGAGCCTTCTTGGAACTGATCCACTCAGAGCTAAAGAAGCTTCTTGGATGAGAAGCAAAATGTCTTCAAAGAAAAACAAGGAAGTCCACTTGCCTCTTGAAAAAAGCACTTTTGGGACAACAGGTTAAATGCCTTGGTCCTGCCTGCTCTATTTCTGTTCTGGGATCTCTGAAGATGCTTTCACGGAGGTGTGGAAAAACAAAAGGGATGTTTTACTAAATGCAAGAAGGGGCAGGATATAAAACAAAAACTACTTACCACTAATTCAGTCATGGTAACTTTGCCTTTACTCATATTCTACAAGGGAAATAAAAGGCATAACTTTTATTTTGAAATGATACCACCTATGTTTTCTCTAACTATACCATCGCTGCCATATTTTATATATGGCAAATGATATGATGTCATAAAATACATCGTAGTCTTTTGCTACCACAAGCTGGATCATCAGAGAGTTATAGTGACACAAAAATGATAGGCATGGCGTGATATCACCACAAAAATAGTTGCAAGTCTCTACTTATCTCAGCAGGTAACACAAATCCCCAAAACTGCAGGAAGATGACATTGTGAATATGTCGTGGCTTGTTCCTATTTCCCATAGGCACACCCATGGCTGGGACATGGTCCCTGCCCTTGCTACTCATTCCCCAGGGCAGGGGTCTGCAACTTTAAACACTCAAAGAGCCATTTGGACCCATTTCCCACAGAAAAGAAAACACCGGGAGCCACAAAATCTGGGTGGGTGTGGCCAACTCAACATCACTCACTTCCACCACTTCTACCACTCACATTAGGGCAGAGAACCAGTTGTTAAAAAAACACCAGGAACCACAAAACCCTTTTGACATCTCTCTCCCTCCCTCCCCCTCTCCTCTTCTCTCTCCCCTCTCTCTGTATCTCACTATGTCTCTCTCTCTCTCCCCCTCTCTCTGTATCTCTCTGTCTCTGCCCCAGCCACTTCTCCATCACCTGCCATTGCCCTTATCTTCTCAGGCCAGGTGAGGAATGACTGGGAGGGGAGGGTTAGGGTTAGGGTTAGGGTTAGGCTAGCCAGTGGTGGGATCACCCGACAGGGAGCCACAGCAGAGGGCCCAAAGAGCCACATGTGGCTCTGGAGTCGCAGGTTGATGACACCTGCCCCAGGGGGAAACATCACCCCAATTTGGGTGGTTATTTTTTGGGGGGAGGGATAGATTGTTTCAGAAAGGAAAGATGAAACAGGCGAAATGTTTTTGCCTTGGCTGCTATGTTTATGCTCTGGGAAGATGCTTTCTGGGAGGGTTAGAATTAGGAAAGGAATGTTTCATCCCACATAAGAACACAATATCACTCAACAAAAAGGCAGAAGATGGAGAAAGAGCTACTTACAATTAATGTTTGCAAGTGTTTTTCAGTCAACTCATTCTACAATGGAAAGAAGCACATCAACGTCTATTCTGACATGAAGACATCCAGCGCCTCTCTATCTAGGCCATCACTACTACCTTAAGATATCATATACATGAATTGCTGCTTCCCTTCCCTTAGGAAACACACCTTTCTTATCCCAACCAGGAGTGCTTAGTCTAAAAATCAAATTTGAATTAACAGTGTTCCGAGGCTTCCGTTTTCTTTTCTTTCTCTTTTCAGTTTTCTTCCACATTCATGGAATCAAAATACCCACTGAGAAAACTGAGGACTAAGGGTTGTATCCCTTATTGTATCCTGGTCAGCACTTCTTTGAGCTTGTCGATCAAAAGGTTGGCAGTTCAGTGGTTCAAATCCCTAATGCCGCATAATAAGGTAAGCTCCCATTACTTGTCCCAGCTTCTGCCAACCTAGCAGTTCGAAAGCACATAAAAATGCAAGTAGAAAAAATAGGGACCATCTTTGGTGGGAAGGTAACAGCATTCCATGCACCTTTGGGGTTGAGTCATGCCAGCCACATGACCACGGAGACGTCTTCGGACAGCGCTGGCTCTTCGGCTTTGAAACGGAGATGAGCACCGTCTCCTAGAATCGGGAATGACTAGCATTTATGTGCGAGGGGAACCTTTACCTTTACCTGATATACATATATGTATATGGGAATGTGTGCTAGTTATTACTTATTAGGGTTTAGGGATTTATTTTTTCTTTTGTTTTGACTTATTGAGATGTATTCTGTGTTTTGGGGATGCTGCACCAAGGGAGGCTCATTCAATTTCATTGTACACATGTGCACTGACAATAAAGGTTTTATTTGATTTGATCTATGCCTGAATAGTTAAGATAATCGTTCAGAACAGAAGAGCTTCAGTAGACATAGCCCTTATGAGCAGCACCCGTTTGGAAGCATTGTTCTTTTTATTCTGCTTAGTCCCGTTTTCTTCTACTCTCTCTGACTCTTCCTCCCCCAAATAAATTCAGATGTGAAATACACTCATGCATATTAACTATGCAGATTTGGGTCTCCACCAAGATGTGTTCTACTTGATTTTTAATGTAGCCATGTCAAGAAAAAGGACTATTGAAATTCCACGATAGTGTCTCATTTCGCCCAGCAAGATTTAAGCCATCCTAAATGCTAAAGCCCCTATTTTACCACTCAACCCACTCCCACCCATCAAAGTTTGGGGAAGACAGGCATCCTTTTTAAAGAATGAGATGACTACCATAGTTTTCACCATAAAACTCTGCTAAACAAATAATTCCCTCAACACTGTCAAACTATTCACTAAGGCTGCATTACTATTACTATTAGTCTTCTCATCGTTCCTATCACCCATCTCCTCCCACTTATGACTGTTGCTTGTATCCTTACGATTTATATTGATTGTTTCCTGGTATGATTCGATTGCTTATTTGTACTCTATGACTATCATTAAGTGTTGTACCTTATGATTCTTGACAAATGTACCTTTTGTTTTATGTACACTAAGAGCATATGCACCAAGACAAATTACTTGTGTGTCCAATCACACTTAGTTTTAGTTTTTTAGTTTATTTGATTTGTATACCACCCTACTCCCGAAGGACTCAGGGTGGTGAACAGCCACAAGATAAAAACACATAAATATTTCTATTGGCCAATAAAGAATTCTATTCTATTCTATTCTATTCTATTCTATTCTATTCTATTCTATTCTATTCTATTCTATTCTATCCTATCCTATCCTATCCTATCCTATCCTATCCTAAAACAAGATAACTATCCTCCTAAATATATAAAATATCTCCCTGCTTTGTATACAAATACTAAATTTTGGTGGGGGTGGGGTAGAATCCAAAAAAAGGTTGCTTCATCTCATGCAAGAAAGATATTGCACATGGAAAAGAGAGAAGGTCATCAAAGAGCTACTTACAATTATTTTTATCATGTCTTCCTCACGCAGTTCCGTCTACAATGGGAAAAAAGGGCATCAGCTCTGTTCTCTCATTAAAGCATACGTGACTTCTCCAACCATGACATCTCTACCATTTCATATATCATAAAAATTAATTCCTCGTGCTACATCATGAAGCAGAGGCATCCGCAACTTATGATGATGCCAAAATGAAGATAACCCTGTTTCCCTGAAAATAAGACATCCCCTGATAATAAGCCCAATCAGGCTTTTGAGTGAGGCTTTCCCCCTGAAAATAAGACATCCCCTGATAATAAGCCCAATCAGGCTTTTGAGTGTAAAATAAGCCCCCCCCACCAAATAAACTCTCCCCAAAAATATTTAAATGCATATGCAGCCGGTCCCCGCCATTTCCTCCGGTTAGGGTTAGGAAGACAGAGCTGGAAATCAGGTAAGACAGCAAGAGGAGTCCCGTCTTGCTCCTCACACCCCAAAATAATAAAACCTCTCCCAAAATAAGGCCAAGCACTTATTTCGGGGTTCAAAAAAATATAAGACAGGGTCTTATTTTCGGGAGAAACATGGTATATGTGCCATGATGTCATCACATGAAGGCTGCAACTACCTATTTGCTGACACCATTCACAACAGCTGCAACATGACATCATTTTGCACATGTGACCACTTGTCCCTCGTCCACATAGGGACATCCTTGTCAGAGATCAAAAAAATTTTCTTTAGTATTCAGCCCAGGGAGAAACTTCAGTCCAATTTAGCTGGTGTTTCTTTTCTGAAAAGGATCAATGGGATGTTTTAAGCAGCTTAAAAATCAAATGTAAAAATAAGTCAGATGTTTTCATTCTATTTTCTGGGTTTGTGTTTTCTGGGCTCTGGAGATGCTTTAAGTGCTGGGTGAAGACAAATTATTAAAGAAAGAAATGGAATAAAATAAATCAAAGCTACTTACTACCAAATTGTACATATAACCAAATTTGATGAAGGTTTTCTACAAAGGAAATGAAGAACTTCAATTCTATTCAGACAAGATAAATACCACTAAATATAATTACAGCATCACAGATATCTTCAATACCATATATCAATTTCATGTATATCTTTCACTCTCCAAATAGGAGCTGTGCCTTTCTAATCACAAATGGAGTGATAGAGGACCATCTGAATTAATAGCACTGTGAGACTTTATTGCTGTTATTGTGAGCAAAGACTTTATTTTTATTTTTTTTAATTTTTAAAAAATTAAATTAGCAATAGCAATAGCACTTAGACTTATATGCCGTTTTACAGTGCTTTACAGCCCTCTCTAACCAGTTTACAGAGAGTCAGCCTATTGCCCCCAACAATCTGGGTCCTCATTTCACTCACCTTGGAAGGATGGAAGGCTGAGTCAACCTTGAGCCTGGTGAGATTCGAACTGCCAAACTGCTGGCAATCGGTAGTGCTTGCAGTACTGCATTCCAACCACTGTGCCTCCACGGGTCTTATGCACATTATTACACAATAATTACACATTATTGCAGAGCTCTTCTAAAGGGTTCCTGGCATCTTTTAAGCCTAAACCATAGGGAAGATCTGTGAAGCCAGGCTCTTTCAAATTCTGACAATAATCAAAATGATGCCCTCCTTTAAATGTTGCCAAGAACGTAGAGCTTCCTGCTGCAATTGTTCCTGAAATGTGTAGAGATCCTTTGAAGGGGAGGGGGAAGGCTCAAGAGGGCTGCTATGACCACATCTAACACAGGGCAACATAGAAGATATAGAGGAAATGAGGGAACTTAAGTGTGTATGTACTTACAATCAATGAACATCCCGCTTTTCCGCCATTAATTCCCTTAATAATTTCTAATACCCTAGGCATTATTTCCTATTAGAAAGGAGAAAAAAACATTATGAGCAGGGGTGAAATTCAATTTTTTTACTACCAGTTCTGTGTGTGTAGCTTGGTGGGCATGGTATGCCTTGGTGAGCGCAGCTTGGTGGGCATGGCAGGGGAAGGATACTGCAAAATCTCCATTCCCACCCCACTCTGGGGCCAGCCAGAGGTGGTATTTGCCGGTTCTCCGAACTGCTCAAAATTTCCGCTACCGGTTCTCCGAACTGCTCAAACTTTCTGCTACCGGTTCTCCAGAACCCATCAGAACTTGCTGGATTTCACCCTTGATTATGAGTATATGTAGGATTTGTTTATGATTTCCTGTGAGGTTATGTGAAGAACTGTTTTTACCCCAGCTCCTGCCAACCTAGCAGTTCAAAAGCATGCAAATGTGAGTAGATAAATAGGTACCATTTCACTGGAAAGCTAACAATACTCTATGACATCATGCTGGCCACATGACCAGAATTCATGTGAACAGAGTTGAGCACTGCTCCATATAGTCAGCAACGACCAGCAGAGTAAAATCTGCAGGGACTCTTTTACCTACGTAAAGAAAGCTGGCCTTTGAAGTGCTGAGTAGCACCTGCCTATCCCGGGTTCTTGGGAATGACTTGACAGGTGGATAAAAATGCCAGATCCAGTCTAAATATCTGGCTAATTATGCAAACAACTATAATAATAATATTGCCAACACTAGCTAAAGAACTCATAGCTGTGATTTCACATTATTTTGTACATTAATGATAATTTATTACATTTATGTGCTGCCTGACTCCCAGAATGTCTGGGCAGTTGGTATGAATTTGTTGGGTGTCTCAGAGCTTGGCATGCCAGTCTTAATTTATGGGCTATGGTTATTTCGTGGGTTGTAAGACAGTTTCTAGGTAAAAGATTGTGGGTTGTAAATATACACCCTGTAGAGTCCTTGATGATCACTGAGCTTAGTTGCTTGCTTGCAGACATTTCAATCCTCTATTAGATAACATAATCAGTGTGAATCCACACTAATACACAAATAAACACAATTTCTATCCCAATTTCAATTGATCCAGAAGGGATATAATTGTAAACATCATGGTCTCACAAAAAGAAATTCTACCCTAAGCTACATCAAATCAAGCAGAGTTGACAGCAAATTATGATGTTCCCTGCTGGCCTCCTCTAAACAAATTCATTGGGGAAGCCATCAGGGAATCAGAAGTCACAATCACATAAACTCCTTCCTGTGCAGCCCTTGTTTAAGGAGGGCAACAGGAACTGGTGGAATTGCTGTTGTTAAATGACATGATCACGAGATCTGGTGCTTTATTAATGTGTTGATTAATGACAGAGTTCCCAGCCCCACTTGCCCTCATAATGCAAGGATTACCTGTATTTTAAGTAACCATACTACTGATAACAACCCCATCCACAATCCATTGTTATTGATGGTGTTGTTAGACTCTTCTTCACTTTAGGGTACCCTGTTTTACTGCCAGAAGGTGTACTTTTGACAGGTAAAGCAGTGGCTCCAGCTGCTTCATCAGAACTGGCTCAAGGTTTTACCTGTGCCTTCTTTTTTGATGCTCTGGAGACAATGGGGATGGTTCAGTGGTGAAATTCAGCCGGTACTATCCGGCTCAGGTGAACCATTAGCAACAGCAGCGGGGAGGCTCCATCTCCTGCCTGGATGTCATCATGTCCCGTTTTTGACCCTCTGTGCATGCGCATGCAAAAATATTTCACAAGGAAAGGACAGAGAATGAACAAAGAGTTACTTACCACAAATTCTTCATCTTTACACTCCATTTCTAAACAATCCTGCAAATAAAACAAAAGGTATTACGTCTCTTCTAACATGATATCACTTCTCTGCAGAATAAAATGTGCAGCTATATAAATCTTTGAAATAAAAAGATAGCTACGTCATTACTATCATCTTTGATATCACACATGTTGTCAATTGCTTCATTCTGTAGATGAGATACCCTCCTTATTTATTTATTTATTTATTTATTTATTTATTTGTTTGTTTGTTTGTTTGTTTGTTTATTTATTAAAATTTATATACCGCCCTCCTCCCGGAGGACTCGGGGCGGCTCACAACCATCACGTAGAGTAAAAACAATAACAATAACAATAAATAAAGTTAAAAAAAATACAATAAAAATCCCACAACTAATTAAAAACTCCCAACAGATCAGACAATTTGTTTAAAAAGCCATGTCTTCAGGTCTTTGCGGAAAGAACAGAGGTCAGGGGCTGTCCGGAGCCCAGTGGGTAACTCGTTCCAGAGGGTGGGTTCAGCCACAGAGAACGCCCTCATCCTGGGCTCCATCAGCCAACATTGTCTGGCAGATGGCACCCGGAGGAGGGCAGTCCTATGTGAGCGCACTGGGCGGTGGGAGGCCGGTAGGAGGTGCTCCGGCAAGTACTTACTTATCAGGAAATGTTCTGATTGGCTGTAAAAGATACCTATGGATGAATTGTGTTCTGAAACTCTTTGCTTCATTCTCTTTTCAGTATCCTTCCACCTTCACAGAATGGAAATCTGCACAGAGAATCCAGTGGAATATTCTGCTTGTATTGAATTTCTGTCTCAGAAATGCTTGTTGACAAAAGAGCTTAATAGAAAGGTCTGGTGGAATTCAAGCTATTTGGGATTAAATCACTACATTCCATATTTGTAGTCCTTGACTTATGATTGATCACTTAATGACTGTTGCAGGTTATGACGGACCTCTCTGGGTGTACAGTATGTTTTCAATTGTTTGAAAAATACCTCTTTCTGGCTTCTACAACATTGCCTGGTAAAACAGACTCTGGAAAAGGAGATGAGGAAATAGCAATAGCATTTAGACTTATATACCACTTTACAGTGCTTTACAGCCCTCTACAGCCCTCTCAAAGCGATTTACAGAGTCAGCCTATTGCCCCCAACAATGTGGGTCCTCATTTTACCCACCTTGGAAGGATGGAAGGCTGAGTCAACCTTGAGCCTGGTGAGATTTGAACTGCCAAATTGCAGCCAGCCAGCAGTAGAGCAGAAGTAGCCTGTAGTACTGCACTCTAACCACTGAGCCACCATGGCTCATAAATAAATAAATAAACCATCTTACCAATAAAACTGCATTTGGACCAAACAGATGACTCTCACCAATAAGGGACAGAAATTACAGGGAGAGAAAGAAATTGTTCAGGACACTCTTGCCCAATGCAAAACTTCCTTGGACTCAATTCTGAAAAAAAGTGTTGTCCACACTTACAACCAAATAAAGTGGATTTGGGTTTAGGGTCAGTATTGTCATAACACAGGGACGCTTTGCTGCAGGCAAGAAGTGACAGCACGAGATGAAGAAAGAGCTACTTACCATTAATCTGTCAAGTTTTTTTTCCTCCAGAGAATTCTACAATGGAAACAAGCACATCAAATTCTATTCTAACAGAAGGTACCCAGGACCTTTCTATCCATGCCATCACTACCATCTTAGATATCATATATGTCAGGCCTGGAAGCCATCTTTTGCATTGGGCCTTCGGACCTGCCACATTTACTGCTATGGGAAATTGGGAGGGGGGATTGTATGGAGATTCGGATTAATGTCAGGATTCCAAGTAACACCCCCAACAAAAGAAAACTCCGAGGCCTGAGTTTCCTCAAAGTTACATTTTATTAGAGATGTCATATTGGACTGATTGAGGGAGAGGTTTGGGGAGGTCAGTTTTCGGGATATTGGGGTCCTGGCATGGCAGGGACCGGGTGGATGAGGCCCGGCCACTTCAGAGGCCACCATCGCTATCAACCCAACAGCCAGTGGTCCCTCTTGGATGCTTCTGACTGGCCAGCCTGAAGTTCCTCCTGGCTGCAGACCAAGGCCACTCCCAGGAGCTGACCAGGGGAGGTCAGCTAACAATATACATGAATTCCTGTTTTCTTCCAATTAAGAAACACACATTTCTTATCCTAACAGGGAGTGGTTACATTAAAAAAAATAGAATTTAATTAATGGGTTTTTTTTTTAATTTGATTTATATGCCGCCCTTCTCCGGAGACTCAGGGCGGCTTACAATGCGTTAAGCAATAGCCTTTATACTTTTGTATATTTTATACAAAATCAGCTTATTGCCCCCACAAACTGAGTCCTCATTTCACCTACCTTAGAAAGGATGGAAGGCTGAGTCAACCTTGAGCCTTGGAGAGATTCGAACCAGCAGAAATTGCAGACAGCTGTGTTAATAACAGGGTGCTTAGACCACTGTACTATCAAGGCTCTTAATGGTTAATTTCCCCCCTCTTTCTCACTTCAATGTTCTTTCATATTCATTGATGTATAATATGAATTGAGAAACCTGAGGGATCATGGTTGTATCCTATACATCAACATACAAAATGATTGCTTAGAAAAGAGAAACTTTACCAGACATGGCACTTGTGAGATAACTGTCAGGTTCTGACGGATGCCCTAATTAAATCATGAACCTTGAGCCAAGCTTCAAAAGAAATCCAGTTATTTATTAGGAGCTTCATGTCGGCACATTCTAGGTGAAGCTAACTCTAACCGCACGTAATGTATTCCCCAATCATGACCCTGTTTCCCTCCTACCCCCACCCCCAGGGTGTGTTATCGATCACATTTGCCAACCGAGCAATTTCACAGGCTGTAGAGATCACTCCCCTCCTGCTGCTGTGGGTAACCCTGGGAGACAGCTTTGAGAGAGAGATATGTCTGGAATGTGCATTTGTCTTTGGCTGCCGTGCTGCTTCGTTGGTTTCCCATCCCACTTAGCTGTGGCAACTTGAAAGCAGGCCAGGGATGCTTTGCGAGTTGACAATAGCACTCTTTTGAGAACATTGTCCATATTTTGTATCCAATGTAGATTCATTTCAGTTACACAACTATACACATAAGACATCCCTACAATGGAATATATTTTTTTTTATTATTCCACTCTACTCTATTCTTCTTCTATTATTTTATTATTCTATTATTCTACTTCCCTTAGCCCTGCTCTCTTCTATCTCCTCTGCACTTCCTCCTGCAAGTAAGTTTAAATATGAAATAGAGTCACTGTTAAATAGTTAGATTTGTGTTCACAACTATATGTGCTCTACTTGATTTTGAATGTAGCCGTATGAAGAAATTGAAATCCCACAATAGTATCTCATTTCCTCTTCCAACTGTAACAAAGAATGTCAACTCAAATTCAGAATATTTTCTGGTCAGAAAAAAGTTTCAAAAAAGATTTAGGACAATCTAAAACCCTTATTTAAGTACTCAACACACCCTGCCCCTCAAACTCTGGGAATGTGTGGCAGTGAGTAATATTTTTTTTAAGGAACAAGTAACATAGGTTTAATCATAAAAAAAAAAAATAACTCTCCTCCTAAATATACAACCTGGTGTCAGGTTTCGGTGTTGTCTCAAATAAATTGCATTTCCAAACAAATAGTCTTTGATGAAATCTTTCATTTATTAAGCACGACAATCTGTTCCCGACTATGTCATAGCCAACACTGACTTCCTGACCCCAAACCTTCCCTTTCCATTCCCCAATTCTCTGCGTCTCATTGGCCATCTTCCAAATCACTCTCCCCATATTTACTACTTCAGCTCCCAGGAATGTCCCCCCTCCCATCCCATCTCCTAGGGGATATTATCTTCAGGGAAAATAACTAGGTGAAAAGTCAAGCGTCCTCTTGCCAGCTGCCCCCTCTTCTCCTCCTTATGTCAGCACTGGAACGAATGTAGTTTGAAGTGCTGACACCTGGAATATCTCAGCATATATAATTGCTAAATTGAGAGGTGGTGTTGGTTAGAACATCACAAGGGATGTTTGATTGCATCAAGAAAGATATTTCACAAGGAAAGGGGAAAAAATGGTCAAAGAGCTACTTACCATTAACTGTGCTAGACCTTCCTCACCCATTGAACCCTACAAAGGAAAGAAAGGGTATCAACTCTGTTCTCATATGAGAACATATATCACTTCTCCAACCGTGCCATCTCTGCCATATCATATAGGTTAAAAATGAATTCCTTCCTTCTTCAAATAGGAAAGGACCAGTCATGTCTTTTGGGTTAAAACTCTTCTGCAGATATGCACACGTGCCTTCATTTCATATGTGAACTAAGATTCATGCTATTCCAAAAGTGCTTTTCCAAAAAGCAACTGAATCATCATCATCTTCTTCTTCTTCTTCTTCCCCTCCTCCTCCTCCTCCTCTTCCTCCTCCTCCTCCTCCTCCTTCTTCTTCCTCTTCCTCTTCCTCTTCCTCTTCCTCCTCTTCTTCCTCTTCTTCTCCTCTTCCTCCTCCTCCTCCTCCTTTTTTTCTCCTTCTCCTTCTCCTTCTTCTTTTCCTTCTCCTGCCATATCCATCATCGGACGTTGGCAATCATGTTGGCGATCCTATTTTTATCAACAGCCGCACAAAAAAGTGCTGTTGAGTTTTATCCAAACCAATCCCTTCAATTTTGAAGCCATGATGTTCTTCTTCTGCCTGGACCTCGTTTGCCTTCAATCTTTCCTTGGAGGATTAAGTGAAGGATGCTGTATTTTTCTGGGTGTCGCATCACATGACCAAAATATTCTAACTTTCGCTTTTTTATGGACTTGATGATTTCCCTTGGCTTCCCCAGGAGGCTTATCCCCTCCTCATTTCTGATTTTGAATGTTCTGAATTTTCTTGGTAAACATTTTTTTTAAAAAAACCCAAAAACAAAACAAAACAGTTCAGTTATCTTTTGGAAATGCACCTTTGAAGCAACTATGACCTGGATTTTGAGAATATCCACAAACATTTAGATTCATGGTACCTATCTCACAAAATCAATAAAAGTCCCAACAGATGCACAACACCCCGAATTTGAATAGTTTTAATGTGAGTTAGATTGTTATACCTGGTTTTGTGGTTTACTCAGTTGGGAGAGCCCAGATTATTTCATCATTTTAGCATATAATGCAGTGGTGAAATGTAAAATTTGTTACTATCAGTTCTGCGGGCATGGCTTGGTGGGGGAGTAATGTGACTGGGTAGGTGTGGCCAACTTTTTTTTTTACTTTTTTTTTTTACTTTTTTACTTTTTTTTACTTTTTTTTTAACTTTTAAAACCATTTTTTCTACAACCCTCTTGGCTGAAGAGTTGCCCAGCTGAATTGCCTGATTGTCGGAGGCTTTTTTTTTCTTTTAAAAGCCTCTGACGATCCCAGCTAAGTTGCCTGATCATCAGAGGCTCTTTTTTCTGTAGAAGAGGTTGTAAAAAATATGCTTTTAAAAGCCTCTGATGATCCCAGCCAAGCCGCACGATCATCAGAGGCTATTTTTTTTTACTTTTAAAAGTATTTTTTCAGTGAAGAGGTTGTAGAAAAAATGCTTTTAAAAATAAAAGAAAAACTGATGATTACGCGGCTCAGCTGGGCATGGGGGGGGCAGGGATTTTTGCTATCGGTTCTCTGAACCACCTGCCTCCATCGGGATCGGGAGATCCGGTCCAAACTGGGAGCATTTCACCCCTGATATAATGTATTACACAAACTACAGAAAGAGGATTGAATTAGTAGCCAAAATAAATGTTTGCGTGGTCTCAATAATGCTAAGTAGCTAACTACATAACCTTGACTTTGATTTTATGAAATATTTTGGATCATCTGAAAAATCTCTCCTGTGTTTGCAAATGTGTCCCAATAAAATAAACCTTGAAATGGGAGGTGAGGAAATCCATTTACCAACAAAATTGCATCTGATGAAGGGAATATTAGATGAGTCACAACTGTGAGGAACAGAAACTACAACTAGGCCAGTGTTTTTCAATCACAGCAACTTTAAGCTATGTGGGCTTCAACTCCCAGATTTTCTCAAGGTAGCATGCTTTAAGATGTATGAACTCCAATAACTTCCCTTTGTTGGCTAGGGAATTCTGGGAATTGAAGTCCACACATCTTAAAGTTTCTGAGATAGAGAAACATTTCACTAGAGAAGAAAAACCTCTCCATAGTCTCTCCATGAAAGAGCTAAAATTTATCACAGAATCTACAAATTGGTATTTTGTGAGTATGTGTAGAAATAAAAATCTATAGGTTGATGAGGGTTGCTTTTTATACCTCCCCCCCCCCAGGAAATTAAATAATCAGGAACTGAGATTATGCAAGGAAAGAGCATAAGATAAAAAAAAGAATTGCTTACCAACATTCTTTCCAACATTCTATCTTCATTTTTCTATAAGGGAAATGAGAGATATCACTCTTATCCTCTTATACTTAATAGAAAAGGTCCCTTTTGCAAAATTATCAATGCAGTTCAAAGATGTGCTAAAACTTCAAAGACAACAATCATCACAATAATATCCTTGCTGTGTATTTTAGAGCCACAGCTGAAGAATGATGAGTTTAGTGGAACTGAAGCACTATTTCAGTGATGGAAACACTGAATGACACACGTGTCGAAGGTGACATGTCATGATGTTTTGGGTGACACACCAGCATTCGCCAGTACGCGATAACAACTGTTCTTGAAAGCACAACCCATTTTTGCAGGACTTTTGGAGGCTCTGGTGGCCACACAAGAACGGGGTGTGATCTCCAGAGCCACCAGAAATTACACAAGAGGTTTTTTCTCTTGTGTGGCCTTCAGCATCTCAATAAATCATGCAAGAACAGGGCCAGTTTTCCAGTGACTTTCAGAGGGCTTAGGGCCGTAATAGCAAACATATGGCACACGTGCCATAGCAGAGCTCAGCTCCACTGCACATGCATGCACGAGCCTTCCACCGGCCAGCTAACTTTCAGGATGCATGGGGAGGCAGGGCGCATGTGGGAAACATGTGCGCATGTGCAGCGGGGGTCGTACATACATGCATGGGGGTGGGGGTCACGCGCACATGCGTGGGGAGCACAGGGGGATGCACTGCATCCCCCCACGGCCCGTTTTTGGGCCCAGGAGGCTGCACGGACAGCATGGGGGAGTCGTGCGTCATGTGCAGGTGGATCCGCATTGCATTATGGGTGCCGGCATGCACGTACACTGTCATGCATGCATGCATGCATGCACTTTCAGCACACGATGAGAAAAAGGTTAGCCATCACTGGTTTAGGGGCTGACGAAGAGCATTCTCCGAAGCTACTTCAAGAATTTATTTTATTTTATTTATTTTATTTTATTAAATTTCTATACCGCCCTTCTCCCAAAGGACTCAGGGCGGTGAACAGCCAAGAAATAAAACACAGAGATACAAAATTTAAAATAAATTAAAACAGATTAAACAATTTGGCTAAATTTTAAAATATCCCATAATTAAACAAATTAAAATTAATGTTTAAAATTTAAATTTAAAAATTTTAAAAGGGAGAAGATTTAGGCCAGGCCAGCTTGATGGAATAAAAACATTTTAAGCGCGCGACGGAAGGTGCGCAGATCCGGGATCCTCCGTATCTCCGCGGGGAGCTCGTTCCAGATCGTAGGTGCCCCCACAGAGAAGGCTCTCCCCCTGGGGGCCGCCAGTCGACATTGTTTGGCCGACGGCACCCGGAGGAGCCCCTCTCTATGGGAGCGTACTGGCCGGTGTGAATGAAAGCTTCTGGGGGCTTTCATGTCTGAGAGAGGATTAGAACGTACATTTTCACTTGATTTGGCAAAGTGAATTCCATCCCAACCCAAACTATTTCTCCCTCTCAGAATTCTCAGGCAAATGTTATCTACATCTACTACCAGTTGAAAAAACAATACCCTAGACCCGTGATGGCGAACCTACGGCACGCGTGCCACAGATGGCATTTGAAGCCATATTGGTGGTCACGTGAGCTCAGTTCCCAGTTGATTTTCAGGCCTTCCAGTCCCACCGGAAGTCAGCAAATGGGCCGTTTCCGGACTCCAGTGGGCCTCCGGGGGCATGGGGAAGGCTGTTTTTGTCCTCCCCAGGCTCCTAAAAAGCATCTGGAGCTTGGGGAGGGGAAAAATGGGCCTACCGGGCCCACTGTGCCATCACGTACCAAAAGTGGGGGGGAACGCGGGGGGTCGCAAGCACGTGTGGGGTGGGGTGGGATGCATTGAATTATGGGTGTGGGCACACGCATGCACGACCTCCCCATGCTCCCCTCGCTTTTGGCATGCGATGGCAAAAAGTTTACCATCACTGCCCTAGACAAAGCTCTGGGCTCGGTGATTTATACCTACTTTTTTTCCTGGTACAACTCTGAGTTTTTTTGGGAGAAAAGGGAGCATATGCATTTTCCCCAATGTAGTCATTTGCCCATTTGCAAAACAGGGAGAAATTACAACCAGAAGCATTTTCAACCTTCTGCATTGATCCAATTCAGTAGATCCAACAAGAAGTTCAACAAGAAGTTATCTCTGACTCTAATGCTAAGGTGTTGTTGTTGTTGTTAGTTGCGAAGTCATGTTCAACCCATCGCGACCCCATGGACAACATTCCTCCACGCCTTCCTGTCTTCTACCATCCTCTGGAGTCCATTTAAGCTCATGCCGACTGCTTCAGTGTCTCCATCCAGCCACCTCATTCTCTGCCTTCCCCTTCTTCTTTTGCCTCCAATCTTTCCCAGCATTAGGCTCTTCTCCTAATGCTAAGGTAAACACTGAAAAAGCTAATGCAGAGAACAGGATGTCAACCTGAATTCAGAACTACAGCTACAGTTGGATTCCTGATAATTAAAAGATGAACCAAAGCCCTCTGCCTGATTTTTTCAATCCCTTCACAAAGAAATGTGTAATTAAAGCATGGAGGTAAGCTCAACAAAATGGTTACTCATTTCATCTGCAGGCACCCCAGCTGAAACGCTATTGCAAACCACAAAATTTAGTCTTACCAGCTGTGTAGAAAGCGTAAAAGTTAAAGCAAAGATTAAAAGGAGATACATTTTCTCATTGCTCTTCAGATCTTCTGGTCCTTGTTGTTCTAGGTGACATTACTCAGCTCCATTGCCACATTTTAATATCTTAATCTGCAGGCCTCATTGCCCAAATCCAATACCTCTATTGTTACTTGATTTACATGGAAATGTTAGGTTTCCATTGCATCATGCACAATTATTCCATCATCCATGTTCAAATTGAAGCTAAAAGGCAGAGGTTGTGCAAGGTTCTAACATCATAGAAGAAATCCTCAAATGGGCTTCTTCCTGGAAGGACTAAAGAGGTGAGCTTCATAAATCCAGATGACCACTTAAATGGCAGCAGAAATTTGGAATTGCTCCAGTGGTTGTCCAAACTTGAAGCCAGATCTAGTACTCCAATACTTTATAGTAGGTATATCTTTGGAATCTTTTTGCTGATAGCAACATAAGCCATCCTAAGCATTGTACTCAGGAGTGGGTTGCTGGGGGTTCACAGGGGTTCAGGAGACCCTCTAGCTAAGATTCTGTGCAATTCGGAGAACCCCCAAATCCCACTCTTGGCTGGCCCGTCCACCCTGCCCTGCCCCTCCCAGGAGTCCCCACATGGCCCGTTTTGGATGCAAGTAAATGCAGGGCATGTGCGGAGACTCGGGGAGGATGAAAAACGGGCCTACTGGGAGTTTGGGAGGCCAGAAATGGGCCTATTTCCAGCCTCCAGAGGGCCTCCGGAGCCTGGGAGGCCAGTTTTGCCCTCCCGGAGGCTCAAAAAAAGTCTCCGGAGCCCAGGGAGGGCAAAAATGCCCCTCCCTGTGGTGTAGGAGGCCAATTAGCCATGGCCACCATGGCCACGCCCACCCAGCAACCGGGCAGAGAACCCCTTGCTAAAATTTTTGAAGCCCACCCCTGATTATACTGTAATAGAGTGTGTGTGAACCCCTTCAAATTTAATCCCGCTCCCTACATCTGAAAAGTCCCAAATAGAATTAAGCCAACTGCATAGTCTTTCATCAGATCCCTGTTTATAATTCTTTAACAGAGGTTAGTTCACTATTGCAAACCAGAAGAGGATCTCTTCTGAAACACTTCCAAGAGTAGCAAAGTTCCTTTTGATGGAAAACAATGTAGTGGCCTTCATTGATTGGTTCGAAAAATTGTAAGGAAGCAACACACAAAAAAGGTATCTCATACTTATAACTTCATCAAGATATGGTTGAGGGGCCTACAAGTCCCATGATATGATTATAACTGCCAACAGAGCCCATACAGTTCCCAAAATGACACCAAACCAGAATCTGAGAAAGTAACAAAAGTTGCATATAGGTCTGACAAAAACAAAACACACACGCACAAAAACACTGAATTAAAGGGAAGGAAACAAACAGGTTTCAAGACTTGCAGCATCTCTTTAAAACATTGGAACTGACAAGATGTAGTTACGGCACTCAAATCTGTGCCTTCTCTTTGTGACACCAGCAAATCCAAACCCATCAAAGCCCAAAGCATCCACATCAGTATTATCAGCAATGCCAAAACCCTCTCACCCCCACCTAGATTTCATAGGTAAAGGTAAAGGTTCCCCTTGCACCTATGTTCTAGTCATTCCCTGACTTTAGGGGGTGGTGCTCATCTCCTTTTCAAAGCCGAAGAGCCAACACTGTCCAAAGACATCTCCGGGGTCATGTGGCCGGCATGACTAAGCGCCAAAGGTGCATGGAACACTGTTACCTTCCCACCAAAGGTGGTCCCTATTTTTCTACTTGCATTTTTTACGTGCTTTCGAACTGCTAGATTGGCAGAAGCTGGGACAAGTAACGGGAGCTCACCCTGTTATGCGGCGCTAGGGATTCGAACCACTGAACTGCTGACCTTTTGATCGACAAGCTCAGCATCTTATCCACTGATCCACTGTGTCCCAGTCCTAGATTTCATACTACAGTGTAATTCAGATAAGGGGAGTGTATAAATTTTGGAGGTATAGAAGCTTTCTCAGTTGTTGAAAGGCTCCTTTATCTTTCAGTGACCTGAACTAGCATGATGGTGTGGGTGACCATATCTGATGGCCTTTACATATCAAAAGTCATGTTTCAACCGCTTCCTCTTTTGACAATAGGGTCATTGGTTTGGACTCATTGAAGCAAGCCAGGTGAAGTGTAAATGATTTACAAACCAGTATCATCAAGAGAACGTCAGTATTTATGAGAGCAAAGAATGGAGGAAAAACAAGATGTTCCATCCGTTGTTTGCTTGTTTTGTTTTTTGTTTTTGTTTATTTTATGATTGGCAAAAGGGGATCTATCTAGGCCAGGGGTGTCAAACTCAATTTCATTGAGGGCTACATCAGGGCTGTGGTTGATCTCGGGGGGCCGGCTGAGCATGGCCAACTGGGTGGGTGTGACCAACTGGGTGGGCATGGCCAGCTTGATGCCACTCACTAGGCATGGCCAACTGGGTGGACGTGGCCAGCTTGACGCCACTCCCCAAACTGACATGTTTTCTCTTTGCATTGGGTAGACAGAATTGAAGTGGCATGGGCCGGCCCCTTACATTTTCCAGGCCATTTCCTGCAGGCAGGATCCATCCACATTGTGGGCCGGATCCAGCCTGCTGACCTTGTGTTTTGACACCCCTGATCTAGGCTGTTGAGGTATTGAGCTTAGTTATTTAGTAGGATTGCGCCAAACCTTTAAGAAGTGGTCCATTTTGAAGCAGGTTCACATGAGGAAATCCTTCTTCAGTAATGAGCACACCCTTCCTGGCTCTAAAAAGAAATGCCTTATAGTCAGTGGTGGGATTCAAGTAATTTAATAACTGGTTCTCTGCCCTAATAATTTCTTCCAACAACCAGTTTGCCAAACTGCTCAGAAAGTTAACAACCGGTTCTCCCGAAGTGGTGTGAACTGGCTGAATCCCACCATTGCTTGTAGTATAAATAGCCAAACGAGGAGTCTACCTCTGTACCAGAAACCACTTCTGGCTCTTGCCATCAACTATTAGAAGAACCAAGAAATGTTTCTCTGCTAGAACTGTAGGAGAAAATCCCAGGATGGTAGAAACTGCCTTCAAGAGACAAATTGCAAATTGACAAATTGCAAGAAACGTTGTGTCAGGGTAATGATGATTTAAAGCTGATCAGCCAATGTAAGGCTAATGCAACTGTAAAGCTGATGAAATGTAAGGCTGATGCAATGAGAATGAATCAGCACTGGTATCTTTAAAGAGTCTGAAGGGGTCCACACAAGTCTTTTACCCCTTTAAGAAGTGTTTATACATTTCAGCCAGGAGAGGGCGTATTCTCTCTCCTTGCATCCGGTATTCATTGCTGAGCTCTCTCTGTGTAGAGTTAAGAAGAAGTTTGATTGCTTGTAAGGTATTTGCCAACCACGTATATTTCTGTATATGTCTTGTATATAAACCACTGTTAAATGTCTAAGTTTCTGTGTGCTGTGTTTTGCTCCTGGGTTTTCTCCTATTAGTCGCACTGCAAAAGCTCTGTCGCATTGCAATCCCCAAAAAGAATCCATTAGGTTCTTTGAAAGAAATATTATTTTCTTGTAATAGAGGCATAAGCCATTAATCTTGACCTGTCATACAATTAGTCAATACGTTTTGTTTGATCTTATTAGGGCAATGTTTTTGGTGCATTTCAATATTAGGCATCACTTCTTCTTCTGCTTTCTCCTTTCTCTCCCCCTCCCATGTTTCCCTCCTCCCCAAAAAAGGTCATCTCTTTTTTTTTAAAATGATGATTAGTAGTTCCTCATACAAGATTAAGTTCTAACTATGCTATAAATCTAAGCGCTTTTCTCTGTGTAATAATCTATAATAAAAGGTGTTTACAGGGTTCATTACAGCTTTAAACAGAATTACAGTTTGCTTCTTTTCAGTGTCCAGACCATAAATTCTTCTAAATCCCTCCCCACCATGTTTCTTTGTTGGAATTAACCAGATCAGATTTGATCAGGGCAGTTTGAGGTGTTCAGAATTCTAATAATTTTTGGGATTGCAAGATTTGTTGTAAACATCTTTCAGGACATTTTCATATTCATTATGTCATTTCATCCAGTTCTACCTGTGCTGAGTGGGGTGAGGGGTTGAATTTTTTCCCCCTCCTCCTCTTTCTTTCTCCTTTTCTCTGAGGGAATGACTTCCTTTAATATTTTAATTTTATTTTTGCTGACTAACATTACAGAAAACGTGCTCGGCCGGAGAAGCTTTTGGGGCGCAGTTGACAGTTCCAAGAGGGGTTCCTTCACATTGATCATGCCTCTGCCTTGAGGGCTTTGTTATGAAAACGTGGCTTAAATTGATAATTCCAGAGTGCTTCATTTCAGGTTCCTTTTCTTCTTTACTACAATTACAATTACTACCAACCTGCCTTCCATTGAGGACTTGTATACTGCACTAGACAAAAAGAGGGCTGTGGAAATATTTACAGACCCCTCGCATCCTGGACATAAAATGTTTCAACTCCTACCCTCAAAATGATGCTATAGAGCATTGCACACCAGAACAACTAGACACAAGAACAGTTTTTCCCCGAACATTATCATTCTGCTAAACAAATAATTCCCTCATGATTGTCAAACTATTCACTAAGTCTGCATTACTATTAATCTTCTCATCATTCCTATCACCCATCTCCTTCCACTTATGACTGTAGGACTATAACTTCGTTGCTTGTATCCTTACGATTTATATTGATATTGTTTTCTGATTGCTTATTTGTACCTTATGTCTATCATTAAATGTTGTACCTTATGATTCTTGATGAATGTATCTTTTCTTTTATGTACACTGAGAGCATATGCACCAAAGACAAATTCCTTGTGTGTCCAATCACACTTGGCCAATAAAGAATTCTATTCTATTCTATTCTATTCTATTCTATTCTATTCTATTCTATTCTATTCTATTCATTCTATTCTATTCTATTCTATTCTATTCTATTCTATTCCTATTCCTATTCCTATTCCTATTCCTATTCCTATTCCTATTTCTATTCTATTTATAAGCTGATAGGAAAGTTGTCTCTAATTTCAGCACTACTTGCCACTCAGATATTATGCAAACTTTTTTGACATATTCTTCAGAACGCAGATCCTACAAATTGAAAACAAATTCCTGATTTCTGGATGTGCTTGGAAGGACACCACCAAAAGCACCATGAATTTCCACCCTCCTGCTGCCTTGCCATGCATCTGCAGTGTTCAGGCAAGGGGCTCCAGTGGGGAACTTCTGGAAGGCAGCAGCTTGCAGGGACCATCCCTCCAGACCAGAATAGAAGTCCCCTCACTCCAGATCCAAATAGAAGTGAAAGGGACATTGGCTGCTACCCCTTTCCTGTGTAGGGTTTCCTGCCTAAGCAGGGGGTTGGACTAGAAGACCTCCAAGGACCCTTCCAACTCTGTTGTTCTATTCTATTCTATCCTATAAAGAGTAGCTTAGTGTTACCGCTATATGTAAAGATGGAAAATCTGATGGCAACCTCTGATCAATCACACTTTTTATAAAGTACATTTTTGAGAAAGTCTAATTTAAAAGGTTTCCCTTTAGAAATGACTGAGAGGTGTGTTTGTTTTAAAAAAGATGAGACACAGCTGTTCAGCTCTATTTTTTAATTACTTCTTTCAGAAAAGACTGTTATTTTGTTGAGAACATCTGAATCAAGGAAAAATGACCTTTTGCTTACAGAATTTAATTACAATATATCCATTCTCCCCCCCCACTTTCTAATAATTCCATTTTTTGCCATTTTAAAAAATCAATATGTTTGTTTTATTTGTTCGTGGTTTGCTTAGTTTGTGCAGCTACTCAGAAGTAATTTTTCCTGCGTTCAGTAGCTCTTAAATGTCTGTACATTTGTGCTGTAAAGTATATATCACCATAAATCTTAATACAAAGGACTCATTAGGCATAACACCATTCATAATAATTTCTTTATGCCTTAAACGTCTGGATTATTCCCTGCCATGTTCCTGGCAACATTTTAGGAAGTGGCTTGCTGTTGTCTTCTTCTAGGGCTGAGAAGAGTGACTAGCTCAAGTTTGGTCAGCTGCCTTCATGACCAGACAAGAGTAGAATTCATAATCTTCTGGTTTCTAATCTACTATCCTAAACCATTATACCAAGGGTGTTAAACTCAAGGCCTGCGGCCCGGATGTGGCCCATGGGATGCTGAGATCTGGCCCCCGGGGCCACCCTGAAAACAGTGAAGGTCTGGTCTGCAGTGCCTCTGCCAGTGAAAACGGAGTTCAGGGGAGGGCTCTGTTTTCACTGGCAGAGGGCTGCAGGAGGCCGTCGTAGCCAAAAACAGAGCTCGGGAGCCTGTTTTCGCTGGCAGAGGACTCAGGCCACAGGCGTCCCCCGACATGAGTGATGTCAAGCTGGCCACGCTCCCCTGGTCATGCCCCCTCCCCCAGCTCCCTTGAGGTCAAACACAACCCTGATCCGGCATTCAATGAAATCGAGTTTGACACCCCTCCACTACAGTGGTGGGTTGCTCCCGGTTCTGTCCGGTTCTTGCGAACCGGTAGTAAAAGTGGGAGGCTCCGCCCATCCGGCCAAATGTCATAATGGACAATCTGCGCATGCGCGCTCCCATTGTGAGCTGGTAGTAAAGGTAAGTAGAACCCACCCCTGCTGCACTATACCAATCTGGTGCTTTTTCTTCCAATTATATGGACAAATATCTGAACTAGATGAACAATTATCTTCAAATATTTGAGCATCGCTGGCTGGGGAATTCTGGGAGTTGAAGTCCATACATCTGAAAGCTGCCAAGGTTGAGAAACATTGGACTATACAGTTTTGCAGGTAGCAAGAGTGGAATCTATCCCAAACCAGTTCAGAAGTGGCAGACTTTTCATCTACAGTAACTTTAGTTGTATTTTATGGCAGTATTTAGGATCGCAATCGGCAACAACATCAGCATCACAACTGTTCTTCATAGATGCACGTCAAACAAGTGATGTTTGTGCAACTGGGATTTATTTCTTTTTATTTTCACAAAGATTTTTTTCTCACAACAAGGGCAACAAACTATTCTATTACAGGAAACAAATTAAAATCAAGCCATATACTGTGTCTACTGCCCCCATCACCATCAAGCGCTGAGTAGGCCGGATCATTGGATGTCCTTGAGCAGAACAGTCTTTTTGCAGATACGGGGAAAATTTCTGGACCTTTTGCAGCATATTCAATTATTTCCATTATTTCTGTCATTTCCGTCATTTCCCTTATTCGAGTTTCAGTCTCTCTTTTGTGTTTCAGATAGAAATGAAGGGGGAGAAGGGAAAAGAATTACTAAATGAAGCTTTTGAACAGACAATTGTCTTATAGGAGAACTGTGCTGTGGCTACCAAGATTCACAAACAATCGGCCAGAACTTCTTGAAACTAACAATTCTGACTTAACTAGACAGCACAGACTCAATTTGGAGCACATCCTGTTGTGGTCCGCCAGCGGCCTCCAGACCTTGCAGCAGAGTCGGACAGTAAGGAGGTTGGGGAGGAACATGAGCCAGTCCTGAAGTCTGGGGAAGGCTCGGACGAGGGCTCTGTGTCGGAGGCAGAGAGGGGGCCAGGGCCATCTGGGAGTTATGTGCTGCCTCTGGAGCCTCCAGAGTCAGATATCAGTGAGGCGGAGGAAAGCTGGAGCCTGTTCCCAGTGCGTGCATGCGCAGAGCTGCCAGAAGGGAAGAACAGTTAAAACAAAAGGGACAACTTGGGAGTAGGGCTTGGAGATGATTGGCCCCTCCCATAAAACATAAAGGAGGAGCAAAGGCACATCAGCCTTTGCAGGAAGCAACTTTGTTTGTTCTGGTCAGTTTAAATTCTGAAGCTCCATTTTGACTCTGTGCTCTGTGTGGCTTTGCAAAGCTAATTGCCAGTTAGGTCTTTGGCAGCATGTCAAGGGAGAAAAAGGTGGGTGCTTATCAGCTTTATCCCGAAGGACTGTGGCAGACTTCTGTCAGACTCTTTATCAACTGTTTGTGACTTATTATGGGCTATGAATGAACATAATTCATAGCCGTTGAAATAAAAAGAGGGTTTTTGGGACTAATCATGTGCTTTTTACTGTCTCAGGAAGCCTAGGTCAGAACACATCCATGCCCTAAAATCTCATATCGGCTCTTAGAATGATACTTTCTAATGGAGAAAAAAATTGGGAAGAGTAATAGCAATTGCACTTAGACTTATATACCACTTCGCAGTGCTTTACAGTCCTCTCTAAGAGGTTTACAGAGCCAGCATATTGCCCCCAAAAATCTGGGTTCTTATTTTACCGACCTCAGAAGGATGGAAGGCTGAGTCAACCTTGAGGCTGGTGAGATTTGAACTGCCAAATTGCAGGCAGCCGGCAGGCAGCAGAAGTAGCCTGCAGTACTGCATTCTAACCATTGCACCACCGAGGCTCTAGAGGAAAGTATTTATTGCTTGGAACCTTAGAAATGTTACTTTTCTGTCAATCCATTTAAACATTCCACTTTTTTCTGTGGAGGACTTACCTATTTTCTTGAGTTCTCTTTGTCCTGGGAGAAAAGCACACACATGTAAATTTTTGTTAGTTTTAATAATAAGCACATTGTCTTGCTGTTTGGATGAGGGTCACACAAAGGCTACCTTCACGCAACTTGCTTAACTGGGTCAGTTGTAATTACATCAGCTGCATTTTCACCAAGTAGTCCTCTTAGCTAGCAAACATTCACTTTGCTTCGATTCTTAGTGGGATGCCCAAATCTGGTTAATATATGGCTTAATATACTGCATAAATACAGAAAATGAGCTCCTGCACAAACTAGGTGACCGCATCCTGTGTGTAGAAAGTAAGTGTGCACGAACAAAGCCATTTAAGACAAGACAGACAAGATAAATATTCCTTCATTTGGCAATTGCCGCTTAACAAGTTTGGCTGGTGAATTATTATATGCAGTTTTTGTTTTTTTACAAAAACCCAATGTACACTGAGAGCATATGCACCAAGACAAATTCCTTGTGTGTCCATTCATACTTTGTCAATAAAAAATTCTATTCTGTTCCATTCCGTTCTGTTCTATTCTATTCTATTCTATTCTATTCTATTCTATTCTATTCTATTCTATTCTATGCAGTTTTTGTTTTTTTTTAAATTTAACTAAGTTTTCTGACAATTTTTGGGGTGGTGGTTTACAGAATGTGAGATCTCCAGAGAAGAGGTGGACAACTGGTGGCGTTTAAGATCTGGAACTCTCATCAACCACTAAGAATATGGCCAGGAAGCAGGATGAAAGATTTTGGAAAGTATTTTTATTACACTAATGGGCCCATTGTGGGAAGACATGAAAGGCCAGGTTGGGGAATGATTGTCCTGAAAAAATTCCATCAATGTGGTTGCCAAGGATTGATACAAATGTTATGGCACACAATGAATGAATGAATGAATGAATCAATCAATCAATCAATCAATCAATCAATCTGCTTATATTTAATGGTGGTACAAGATCTGTTATGCAGATCTGAATTGAAAGCCATTTTAGTTAAAACAGTTCAGGGGTTCAGAACCCAAGAGAATTGAGCAAAAGGTGCCCCAGAGACGCTTTGGGTGAAGGAGCAAGAAGGATAAAAGAGGTCCATGTTCAGGTGGAAGAATTATATAAAAAAAGGAATGGCAGAAAATAAATAAAAGCTACTTACCGCTCCATCTTCATTGGCGTCATTCATGCCCTAAAAGGGAAACAAAAAGTATTCATTCTAATCTGATATGATAACACCCTTACCTTCTCCAACTATGCCATCACTATTTCTTTCCATATATCATATATCAGTTCTTTCAGTGTCCAGATTAAAAAAAAAAATGTCTAAATTTACACAACATGGAATGAAACGAGCCAAAAATTAACACCAGTTAATTAACCTGCACCAATTAACAGCGGTGTCCCCCAAGGCAGTGTTTTAGGACCCACATTCTTTCTGCTTTACATAAATGACTTTTGCAATCATATTATAAGCAGCTGCGTCCTCTTCGCTGATGATGTAAAACTATTTAACACCAACAACAATGCTGCTGCCCTACAAAGTGACCTTGACTATGTGTCAGAATGGTCGAACAATTGGCAACTTCAAATCTCAACCAACAAATGGTCTGTCTTACACATTGGCAACAAAAATCAGAACACCAAATACAAGCTGGGCAGATATGACCTCATAGATAACCCTCACTCTGTCAAGGACCTAGGAGTACTCATCTGAAATGATCTAAGCCTCAGAGCTCACGGTAACAGAGCATTGCCAAAAAGGCATTAAGAGTTGTTAACCTTATTTTGCAAAGCTCTTCTCCGGTAACATTGTACTGCTAACTAGGGCATACAAAACCTTTGCCAGACCAATTCTTGAATACAGCTCGTCTGCCTGGAATCCACACTGTATGTCGGACATTAATACAATTGAGCAGGACCAGAGGTATTTCACAAGAAGAGTACTCCACTCCTCTGCTCATAACAGAATCCCTTATGCCACCAGGCTTGAAATTTTGGGCTTGGACAATGTGGGACTGCGCCTCCTACAGTCTGACCTAAACATAGTACACAAAATTGTCTCTACAACGTCCTACCTGTCAACGACTACTTCAGCTTCAACCTCAACAATACATGGGGAAACTCAAGGTAAACCGCTCCAAACTCGATAACCCTCGATGCCCCCAATTTTCACTCTCTTGGGGAAAAAGGTATGTCTTATACTCTGAAAAATACGGTACTCAATAAAGGGATTTTTGAACCTGAGCCAAGCTTCAGAGTCCTGACTTCCCGGAGTTCATTACTTGGAACCTTTGACACATAGTTGTCTATGTGAATGTGAGCTGGGATCTCTGGAGATGTTTTTTTACGGGGGGAGAATACAGGGGGTACATCTTCAGGGGAAAAAGAACATGACAAAAGAAATAGAAGAAAGTAAATAAAAGCTGCTCACCTGCATTCCACCAGCACCATGCATGGCCTAAAAGGGAAACAAAAGGTAACTATTTTACACTGATATAATAAAACCATAACCATTGCTCAGTCCACCTTAGCTGATGGATCTATTTTAAGAGCTCAGTTATTGTAAACGAGGGCAAAAACAAGTCAATATTTTGACTCCATCTGCTGTGAATATACTCTAGGGACACCGAAGATCCTTTCCCTGAAAGAAGAAGGATAAAAGAGGGACTTGTTCAAGGGGGAGGAAGAATATGAAGAAGGGGCAGAAAACAAATAAAGCTATTTACCGACATTCCACCTCCAGGTCCACCTTGCATGCCCTAAAAGAGAATCAAAAGGGAATGCTTCAACTTTGATATGATAACAACAACCACATTTCTTCTATTGTAACTTCTAACTATTTTTGGTGTCTTGTATATGAATCCCTTCATTCTAGACATTTTTTAAAAATGTGCTTTCATACAACATGGAGTAAAAGGGGGCCAAAAAGACACAGATATGTTACTGTTCTGAGATATATTTTCCTTCCTTTTTTCAATAATCTTACACATTCACACAATGAAAATATCAGCACCGAAATATGCCTGCATAGAATTTTTTTGCTTGTATTAGATATATAGATCAACACAGAAGTGAGTTACTGAGAAAACAGGACCTTTAATAGTATAGGCCTATAGTTCTTTCCAGAACCTTCCACAATAGATGACATCTGACACGTGAGCTAATGAAGTCAATGACATGACACACACAAAACACTCCTTGGGAAGAACATTTCAATCCTGTAGATCAGTTATGACAATGAAAGAGAATAGAAAAAAAACAGTAAAGAAAAAATACGTACATTTGCCACTCATTTATGTGAAGATGGTGGCTTGAGAGGATTCAAAAAAGCTCTTCCTCACATTTACGCAAAAATGAAGTCAAATTGTATTATCGTCACTTTTCTCTGAATACAGAAACTGCATTTGGTTGGGTAAAATGTTTAAAACAAGCTATGAGAACTGAACAGTAAATGGCAGAAAACAAATAAAAGCTACTTACCATCATTCCACCTCCAGGTCCACCTTGCATGCCCTAAAAGGGAATCAAAAGGGAATCCTTCAACTTTGATATCATAACAACAACCACAATTCCTTCAACTATGCCATCACTACCATCTTCCATCTATTCTGTTGTGGCCGGTCAGTGGCCTGTGCAGCTAGTAGCTGATTCCGACAGTGAGAAGGCTGGTGTGGTGCTGCGCCAGCAGTCTGTGCAGCTGGCACTTGAGTAAGACAATGAGGAGGCTGGAGAAGATGTGGTGCCAGAGGCAGGGATTCAGCCAGGGCCTTCAGAACCTAGGGAAGAGAGCTCCATCCCAGGACCTGTGGATTTTTTTTTTGAATTGCTGCCCAGACCTTACTGAAGTAGCAACTAGAGTAGACAAAGTGCCATACACGAAGACTGCGGACGTGCATCAACAGGAAGGGCAACTCATAGCTGAAGTCTGGCTCTCTCCCAAGACCGTTAAAGAAACTAGATGCAAAATGCATGGGGCAAATTAATTTGGCAATTTCACCAATGTTTCCTTGAGAAGCCACAACATTCAAAATTCCTGGCCACCCACTTATGTCATCCAAAGAATAATGCTATGCCTTCCACCTGACTAGCCTGACTAGGTGGCTCAGTGGCTAAGACACTGAGCTTGTCAGTTAGAAATCAAATAAAAAATAAACCTAAACAAGCAACAAGGTTATAGTCATAAGTGGGAGGAGACAGGTAATAGGAAGGATGAGAATAATAATAGTAATACAGTCTTAGTAAATAGTTTGACAGTGTTGTGGGAATTAGTTGTTTAGCAGAGTGATGGCATGCAGGAAAAAAAAACTGTTCTTGTGTCTAGTTGTTCTGGTGTGCAGTGTTCTATAGCATCATTTTGAGGGTAGAAGTTGAAACAATTTATGTCCAGGATGGGAGGGGTCTGTAAATATTTTCACAGCCCTCTTTTTAACTAGTGTAGTATGCAGGTCCTCAATGGAAAGCAGATTGGTAGCAATTATTTTTTCTGCAGTTCTAATTATCCGTTGAAGTCTGTGTTTGTCCTGTTTGATTACAGAGCCAAACCAGGCAGTTATGAAGGTGCAGATGACAGAATAATTCCTCTGTAGAACTGAATCAGCAGCTTCTTGGGCAGTTTGAGCTTTCTGAGTTGGCGCAAAAAGAACATTCTTTGTTGTGCTTTTCTGATGACGTTTTTGATGTTAGGTGTCCATTTTAAGTCTTGAGATATGATAGAGCCTAGAAACCTGAAGGTTTCTACTGTTGATCCTGTGTTGTCTAGTATTGTAAGAGGTGGTAGTATAGGAGGGTCTACCACCATTTCTATAGTTTTGAGTGTGTTTAGTTCAAGATTGTTCAGTCGTACCATAAGGCTAATTGTTCAACTACTTCACTGACTTACCCCTGCCAAGTTCCCATGAGAACTCAGATTCAGAAGATGCCATGGGGAGGACAACTACAAAATTGCCATTGCCCCCTGAAGAAAGGGGATCAGGATGGAAGGGAGGCTGATGCATTTAGTGAAGGAGGGAAAAGGAAAGAAGAGGTGGTCCTTCAGATGGAAGAAGAATATGAAGAAAGGAATGGCAGCAAATAAATAGAAGCTACTCACCATCATTCCACCTCCGTGCATGCCCTGGGGGCCCTAAAAGGAAAACTAAAGGTAACTATACTGTTTTGATATAATAACAGTCTTGACTTGTTCAACTAGTCCAGAGATATTTCACGAGAAGAGTCCTCCACTCCTCTGCTCGCAACAGACTTGAAATTTTGGGCTTAGACAATTTAGAACTATGCCGCCTTCGGTCCGACCTAAGCGTAGTACATAAAATTATCTGCTATAATGTCCTGCCTGTCAATGAGTACTTCAGCTTCAACCACAACAATGCATGAGCACACAATAGATACAAACTCAAGGTAAATCACTCCAAACTCGACTGCAGAAAATATGACTTCAGCAACAGAGCGGTCAACACCTGGAACTCACTACTTGACTCTGTGGTTTCTTCCCTAAACCCTCAAAACTTTAACCTTAGACTGTCTACTGTTGACCTCACGCCATTCCTAAGAGGTCTGTAAGGGGCATGCATAAGTGCATCAGCGTGCCTTGTGTCCCTGTCCTACTGTCCCTTTTTATTCGTATCCGTTTACTATGTTCATATCTATGTTTATACTTATATCTGTTATCTTATACATGCTTGATTAAATCAAGAAGGAAAGGAAGGAAGGAAGGAAGGAAGGAAGGAAGGAAGGAAGGAAGGAAGGAAGGAAGGAAGGAAAGAAAGAAAGAAAGAAAGAAAGAAAGAAAGAAAGAAAGAAAGAGAAACTATGTCATCAAGACTATCTTTGGTGTCTTGTATATGAATCCCTTCATTCTAGACATTTTTTAAAAATGTGCTTTCATACAACATGGAGTAAAAGGGGGCCAAAAGACACAGATATGTTACTGTTCTGAGATATATTTTCCTTCCTTTTTTCAATAATCTTACACATTCACACAATGAAAATATCAACACTGAAATATGCTCAGTCCACTTTAGCTGATGGATCTATTTTAAGAGCTCAGTTATTGTAAATGAGGGCAAAAACAGGTCAATATTTTGACTCCATCTGCTGTGAATATGCTCTAGGGACACCGAAGATCCTTTCCATGAAGGAAGAAGGATAAAAGAGGGACTTGTTCAAGGGGGAGGAAGAATATGAAGAAGGGGCAGAAAACAAATAAAGCTACTTACCGACATTCCACCTCCAGGTCTACCTTGCATGCCCTAAAAGGGAATCAAAAGGGAATCCCTCAACTTTGATATGATAACAACAACCACAATTTCTTCTATTGTAACTTCTAACTATTTTTGGTGTCTTGTATATGAATCCCTTCATTCTAGACATTTTTTAAAAATGTGCTTTCATACAACATGGAGTAAAAGGGGGCCAAAAAGACACAGATATGTTACTGTTCTGAGATATATTTTCCTTCCTTTTTTCAATAATCTTACACATTCACACAATGAAAATATCAGCACCGAAATATGCCTGCATAGAATTTTTTTGCTTGTATTAGATATATAGATCAACACAGAAGTGAGTTACTGAGAAAACAGGACCTTTAATAGTATAGGCCTATAGTTCTTTCCAGAACCTTCCACAATAGATGACATCTGACACGTGAGCTAATGAAGTCAATGACATGACACACACAAAACACTCCTTGGGAAGAACATTTCAATCCTGTAGATCAGTTATGACAATGAAAGAGAATAGAAAAAAAACAGTAAAGAAAAAATACGTACATTTGCCACTCATTTATGTGAAGATGGTGGCTTGAGAGGATTCAAAAAAGCTCTTCCTCACATTTACGCAAAAATGAAGTCAAATTGTATTATCGTCACTTTTCTCTGAATACAGAAACTGCATTTGGTTGGGTAAAATGTTTAAAACAAGCTATGAGAACTGAACAGTAAATGGCAGAAAACAAATAAAAGCTACTTACCATCATTCCACCTCCAGGTCCACCTTGCATGCCCTAAAGGGAATCAAAAGGGAATCCTTCAACTTTGATATCATAACAACAACCACAATTCCTTCAACTATGCCATCACTACCATCTTCCATCTATTCTGTTGTGGCCGGTCAGTGGCCTGTGCAGCTAGTAGCTGATTCCGACAGTGAGAAGGCTGGTGTGGTGCTGCGCCAGCAGTCTGTGCAGCTGGCACTTGAGTAAGACAATGAGGAGGCTGGAGAAGATGTGGTGCCAGAGGCAGGGATTCAGCCAGGGCCTTCAGAACCTAGGGAAGAGAGCTCCATCCCAGGACCTGTGGATTTTTTTTTTGAATTGCTGCCCAGACCTTACTGAAGTAGCAACTAGAGTAGACAAAGTGCCATACACGAAGACTGCGGACGTGCATCAACAGGAAGGGCAACTCATAGCTGAAGTCTGGCTCTCTCCCAAGACCGTTAAAGAAACTAGATGCAAAATGCATGGGGCAAATTAATTTGGCAATTTCACCAATGTTTCCTTGAGAAGCCACAACATTCAAAATTCCTGGCCACCCACTTATGTCATCCAAAGAATAATGCTATGCCTTCCACCTGACTAGCCTGACTAGGTGGCTCAGTGGCTAAGACACTGAGCTTGTCAGTTAGAAATCAAATAAAAAATAAACCTAAACAAGCAACAAGGTTATAGTCATAAGTGGGAGGAGACAGGTAATAGGAAGGATGAGAATAATAATAGTAATACAGTCTTAGTAAATAGTTTGACAGTGTTGTGGGAATTAGTTGTTTAGCAGAGTGATGGCATGCAGGAAAAAAAAACTGTTCTTGTGTCTAGTTGTTCTGGTGTGCAGTGTTCTATAGCATCATTTTGAGGGTAGAAGTTGAAACAATTTATGTCCAGGATGGGAGGGGTCTGTAAATATTTTCACAGCCCTCTTTTTAACTAGTGTAGTATGCAGGTCCTCAATGGAAAGCAGATTGGTAGCAATTATTTTTTCTGCAGTTCTAATTATCCGTTGAAGTCTGTGTTTGTCCTGTTTGATTACAGAGCCAAACCAGGCAGTTATGAAGGTGCAGATGACAGAATAATTCCTCTGTAGAACTGAATCAGCAGCTTCTTGGGCAGTTTGAGCTTTCTGAGTTGGCGCAAAAAGAACATTCTTTGTTGTGCTTTTCTGATGACGTTTTTGATGTTAGGTGTCCATTTTAAGTCTTGAGATATGATAGAGCCTAGAAACCTGAAGGTTTCTACTGTTGATCCTGTGTTGTCTAGTATTGTAAGAGGTGGTAGTATAGGAGGGTCTACCACCATTTCTATAGTTTTGAGTGTGTTTAGTTCAAGATTGTTCCGGTCGTACCATAAGGCTAATTGTTCAACTACTTCACTGACTTACCCCTGCCAAGTTCCCATGAGAACTCAGATTCAGAAGATGCCATGGGGAGGACAACTACAAAATTGCCATTGCCCCCTGAAGAAAGGGGATCAGGATGGAAGGGAGGCTGATGCATTTAGTGAAGGAGGGAAAAGGAAAGAAGAGGTGGTCCTTCAGATGGAAGAAGAATATGAAGAAAGGAATGGCAGCAAATAAATAGAAGCTACTCACCATCATTCCACCTCCGTGCATGCCCTGGGGGCCCTAAAAGGAAAACTAAAGGTAACTATACTGTTTTGATATAATAACAGTCTTGACTTGTTCAACTAGTCCAGAGATATTTCATGAGAAGAGTCCTCCACTCCTCTGCTCGCAACAGACTTGAAATTTTGGGCTTAGACAATTTAGAACTATGCCGCCTTCGGTCCGACCTAAGCGTAGTACATAAAATTATCTGCTATAATGTCCTGCCTGTCAATGAGTACTTCAGCTTCAACTACAACAATGCATGAGCACACAATAGATACAAACTCAAGGTAAATCACTCCAAACTCGACTGCAGAAAATATGACTTCAGCAACAGAGCGGTCAACACCTGGAACTCACTACTTGACTCTGTGGTTTCTTCCCTAAACCCTCAAAACTTTAACCTTAGACTGTCTACTGTTGACCTCACGCCATTCCTAAGAGGTCTGTAAGGGGCATGCATAAGTGCATCAGCGTGCCTTGTGTCCCTGTCCTACTGTCCCTTTTTATTCGTATCCGTTTACTATGTTCATATCTATGTTTATACTTATATCTGTTATCTTATACATGCTTGATTAAATCAAGAAGGAAAGGAAGGAAGGAAGGAAGGAAGGAAGGAAGGAAGGAAGGAAGGAAGGAAGGAAGGAAGGAAGGAAAGAAAGAAAGAAAGAAAGAAAGAAAGAAAGAAAGAAAGAGAAACTATGTCATCAAGACTATCTTTGGTGTCTTGTATATGAATCCCTTCATTCTAGACATTTTTTAAAAATGTGCTTTCATACAACATGGAGTAAAAGGGGGCCAAAAGACACAGATATGTTACTGTTCTGAGATATATTTTCCTTCCTTTTTTCAATAATCTTACACATTCACACAATGAAAATATCAACACTGAAATATGCTCAGTCCACCTTAGCTGATGGATCTATTTTAAGAGCTCAGTTATTGTAAATGAGGGCAAAAACAGGTCAATATTTTGACTCCATCTGCTGTGAATATGCTCTAGGGACACCGAAGATCCTTTCCATGAAGGAAGAAGGATAAAAGAGGGACTTGTTCAAGGGGGAGGAAGAATATGAAGAAGGGGCAGAAAACAAATAAAGCTACTTACCGACATTCCACCTCCAGGTCTACCTTGCATGCCCTAAAAGGGAATCAAAAGGGAATCCCTCAACTTTGATATGATAACAACAACCACAATTTCTTCTATTGTAACTTCTAACTATTTTTGGTGTCTTGTATATGAATCCCTTCATTCTAGACATTTTTTAAAAATGTGCTTTCATACAACATGGAGTAAAAGGGGGCCAAAAAGACACAGATATGTTACTGTTCTGAGATATATTTTCCTTCCTTTTTTCAATAATCTTACACATTCACACAATGAAAATATCAGCACCGAAATATGCCTGCATAGAATTTTTTTGCTTGTATTAGATATATAGATCAACACAGAAGTGAGTTACTGAGAAAACAGGACCTTTAATAGTATAGGCCTATAGTTCTTTCCAGAACCTTCCACAATAGATGACATCTGACACGTGAGCTAATGAAGTCAATGACATGACACACACAAAACACTCCTTGGGAAGAACATTTCAATCCTGTAGATCAGTTATGACAATGAAAGAGAATAGAAAAAAAACAGTAAAGAAAAAATACGTACATTTGCCACTCATTTATGTGAAGATGGTGGCTTGAGAGGATTCAAAAAAGCTCTTCCTCACATTTACGCAAAAATGAAGTCAAATTGTATTATCGTCACTTTTCTCTGAATACAGAAACTGCATTTGGTTGGGTAAAATGTTTAAAACAAGCTATGAGAACTGAACAGTAAATGGCAGAAAACAAATAAAAGCTACTTACCATCATTCCACCTCCAGGTCCACCTTGCATGCCCTAAAAGGGAATCAAAAGGGAATCCTTCAACTTTGATATCATAACAACAACCACAATTCCTTCAACTATGCCATCACTACCATCTTCCATCTATTCTGTTGTGGCCGGTCAGTGGCCTGTGCAGCTAGTAGCTGATTCCGACAGTGAGAAGGCTGGTGTGGTGCTGCGCCAGCAGTCTGTGCAGCTGGCACTTGAGTAAGACAATGAGGAGGCTGGAGAAGATGTGGTGCCAGAGGCAGGGATTCAGCCAGGGCCTTCAGAACCTAGGGAAGAGAGCTCCATCCCAGGACCTGTGGATTTTTTTTTTGAATTGCTGCCCAGACCTTACTGAAGTAGCAACTAGAGTAGACAAAGTGCCATACACGAAGACTGCGGACGTGCATCAACAGGAAGGGCAACTCATAGCTGAAGTCTGGCTCTCTCCCAAGACCGTTAAAGAAACTAGATGCAAAATGCATGGGGCAAATTAATTTGGCAATTTCACCAATGTTTCCTTGAGAAGCCACAACATTCAAAATTCCTGGCCACCCACTTATGTCATCCAAAGAATAATGCTATGCCTTCCACCTGACTAGCCTGACTAGGTGGCTCAGTGGCTAAGACACTGAGCTTGTCAGTTAGAAAGGTCGGCAGTTCGGCGGTTCGAATCCCTAGTACAAGTCTCCTGCGTGAGCAGGGGTTTGGGCTAGATGACCTCCAAGGTCCCTTCCAACTCTGTTACTACTACCTCTGGCCTTCATGCCCTGGAGGAGGGAGCTTCTAACGCTCTACATATTTTCCTGAGATGACCACTTGGCTGAAGAGTCAGTACAGACATAGGGAGGAAACTTACTTTGAAACTAGATAGATAGAATAGAATAGAATTCTTTATTGGCCAAATGTGATTGGACACACAAAGAATTTGTCTTCGGTGCATAGGCTCTCAGTGTACATAAAAAAAATAAATTCATCAAGAATCATAAAATACAAGACTTAGTGACAGTCACAGAATACTAAATAATCAATCAAATCATACTAGGAAACTAAATATAAATTGTAAAGATACAAGTGTTTTAAATCTGTCTTGGGCCAAATTGTTTAATTCGGTTTTATTTTGCTTTTAAATTTTGTATTTATGTGTTTTATCTTGTGGCTGTTCACCGCCCTGAGTCCTTCGGGAGTAGGGCGGTATATAAATCAAATAAAATCTAAACCTAAACAAGCAACAAGGTTATAGTCATAAGTGGGAGGAGACAGGTAATAGGAAGGATGAGAATAATAATAGTAATACAGTCTTAGTAAATAGTTTGACAGTGTTGTGGGAATTAGTTGTTTAGCAGAGTGATGGCATGCAGGAAAAAAAACTGTTCTTGTGTCTAGTTGTTCTGGTGTGCAGTGTTCTATAGCATCATTTTGAGGGTAGAAGTTGAAACAATTTATGTCCAGGATGTGAGGGTCTGTAAATATTTTCACAGCCCTCTTTTTAACTAGTGTAGTATGCAGGTCCTCAATGGAAAGCAGATTGGTAGCAATTATTTTTTCTGCAGTTCTAATTATCCGTTGAAGTCTGTGTTTGTCCTGTTTGGTTACAGAGCCAAACCAGACAGTTATGAAGGTGCAGATGACAGAATAATTCCTCTGTAGAACTGAATCAGCAGCTTCTTGGGCAGTTTGAGCTTTCTGAGTTGGCGCAGAAAGAACATTCTTTGTTGTGCTTTTCTGATGACGTTTTTGATGTTAGGTGTCCATTTTAAGTCTTGAGATATGATAGAGCTAGAAACCTGAAGGTCTCTACTGTTGATCCTGTGTTGTCTAGTATTGTAAGAGGTGGTAGTATAGGAGGGTCTACCACCATTTCTACAGTTTTGAGTGTGTTTAGTTCAAGATTGTTCTGGTCGTACCATAAGGCTAATTGTTCAACTACTTCACTGACTTACCCCTGCCAAGTTCCCATGAGAACTCAGATTCAGAAGATGCCATGGGGAGGACAACTACAAAATTGCCATTGCCCCCTGAAGAAAGGGGATCAGGATGGAAGGGAGGCTGATGCATTTAGTGAAGGAGGGAAAAGGAAAGAAGAGGTGGTCCTTCAGATGGAAGAAGAATATGAAGAAAGGAATGGCAGCAAATAAATAGAAGCTACTTACCATCATTCCACCTCCATAGTTGCCTTGCATGCCCTAAAAAGGGAATCAAATGGGAACTGGTTCTAATTGGACATGATAACACCTATCTCTTCACTAATCTTGACATCTCTACCACCTTCTGTATCTCATATATGAATTCATTCAGATTAAAAATATGCCTGATTTCACATAACAATGGAGTGAAAGATGCATAAGATGCATATATTTAAAGATGCATATATTTATTGTGTCGATCAGTCATGCCATAAAAGGAAGAAACAACCACTAGAGAAAAAGCTGTGCATTGTCCTCTCCTGCATGGAAAAATAATATTCTGTAGAAGATTCAAGAAGGTCTTCCATGGACATGACACAAAATGAAGTGGGATTGCTTGATCGGTCTCTTCCAGGAGTGTAATCCAAAATTTTTCCCTACCAGTTCTGTGGGCGTGGCTTGGTAGACATGGCAGATGAAGGATATTGCAAAATCTCCATTCCCACCCCAATCCAGGGGAAGGATACTGCAAAATCTCCATTCCCACCCTACTCAGGGGCCAGCCAGAGGTGGTATTTGCCAGTTCTCCAAACTACTCAAATTTTCCGCTACCGGAAACCTGTTAGAACCTGCTGGATTTCATCCCTGGTCTCTTCTCTCTGAACAAAACAGCTGCATTTGGCTGGCTAAAGGATTTAGCAAGCAATGAGAAATCAGGAGTGAATAAAGACTTTCTTTGACTGGTATACATGGGACATCCTGAAGCTGGAAAAGTATTTTCTGATTCAGCTTCACTAGAACCCTCTCTCTTAACACCACTTCCACTTCCTTCCATTCCAAGTAAGTTACAAAATGGAAAGATAATCATAGTTGTATATACCAACTGATATATCCTCTACATGATTCCTCATGTAGTTGCTCAGTGCCAACAGGGAGTCTACACCTCCACTTGGTTGAGGGATTTGTTTTTAATTGTTTTATTTTTTTTAATTGTAATAATATTGGAAATGAAGGTACAAACAGACAAATGTTTTTGCTCTGCCTGTTGTGATTATTTTCTGGCAGTCTTTTAGTGAATGAGGCAAAAGGATATAAGAGATACCACTTCAGGCAAAAGAAAATGTATGAAGAAATGAATGGCAGCAAATAAATAAAAACTACTTACCATCATTCCACTGCCTGGCATTCTACCTCCTTGCATGCCCTAAAAGGGAAACAAGAGGTAAATGTTTGATTATGATATAATAAGACCCCTGTGTCAGACCTGGAAGCCATCTTTTATATTTGGGCCTTCAGGCCTGCCACATTTTCTTCTGTGGGAAAATGGGAGCGGGGATTGCATAGAGCATGGGTGATATGTAGTCAAAATAACATTCCTTTCTCAGAGAGTCAAGAAGGCCTGGCACCTGGAGTCAGATGACTGGGAGGTGTTTCCAGTTTGGATGGTGGATGATTGGACCATGTGATGGACATGTGGGTGCTGGGCAGGGACTTGAACTTTCACTTGGGTGGGGGAAACCTGGAAATGTTCAGATTCGGGTTTTCCCAGATGTGCCAATATGACATCTTCAATAAAAAGGAAACTCAAGCCTCAGAGTCTTCTTTCGTTGGGGGTGTCACTTGGAACCCTGACACCCTGACTTCTTCAACTATGCCATCAATACAATCTTTGCTATCTCCTATATGAATTCATTCAGTGTCCAGATAAAAAATATGTCTAATTTCACATAAAATGGTGTTAGGATATGGTTTGAACCTAACAAGTTGTCCAGGCAATATATGTGTTCTGTGACTTTAATATGAATATGTATTATGTGACTTTAAAGTTTTCCTGCTGATTCATTGTAATGCTGAGTCATGCTGTAATTAGTTGTGAACGTATTTAAGAAAGGTACTGTAACATATTCAGTTGATGATATGCTACCATAGTGTGTGGAGTTGCTATCATCGTGCTATCATCGTTGGATGGATCTGCTACCATCGTGGTTTGTTATCAGAGTGAGTTTGTTATTCTAACCAACTACTGTTTGTGTGGTAAGTAGAGTTTCTGTATTACTGGACTGATTTAACTGGCAAAGACTTGGATTGATTTAAAGACTATGAGATTGTTTTTTTCACTATAAAGTAAACTTTTGATAAACCAGTTTGCACATCTCTTATTCATTGCTCTCAGCAACGTTTCTCTCTGCTCTACACTCTGCTGGTTGGTAACACAACAACAATATCCTTAACACATGGAGTAAAAGGAACAAGTTGTATTTATTTATCCTATTGATGAATCATGCCATAAAGGAAGAAACAACCACTAGAGAAAAAGCTGTGCTTTGTTCCCTCTTGAAGAAAGAAGTTTCCTTTAAGACAATTCAGAAAAGGTTTTCTGAGTTCATACCACAAAATGAAGTGGGATTGCTTTATGGCAGGGGTAAAATCTACTTACCTTCCCTACCGCTCACGTGCGGGCGCATCTCATACGCATGCGGACCCTCTGTGCATGTGCAAACCCTTCTATGCATTTGTAGAGGGTAAAAGCCAGGAAGTAATGCTGACCGGGCAGGCGGGAGGAGCCTCGCAGTGTCTTCCCTACTAGTTCTCCGAATCACCCGCCGCCATCACTACTGGTCTGAACCAGTAGCATTTCACCCAGGCTTTATGGATATCTTTTCTCTGAACAAAACAGCTGCATTTGGCTGGCTAAAGGATTTAGCAAGCAATGAGAACCCAGCAGAGACTAAATATTTCTTTTGCCTGGCAAACCTGGGACATCTTTAATCTGGAAAGGTATTTTCTGACTCAGCTTCACAATAAGCTTAACCACAATAAGATAATCATGATGGTTCTATATACTGATTTGTCTCTCCCTAAAGATCTCCTCGACATGATTTCTCATGCTGCTGCTCAGTCTCCCGAGGGACTCTTCATCCTCATTGCCTGAAGAATTTATTTTTAATTGTCAGAAATTGGAAAGGAAAGTACAAACAGGCCAAATGTTTTTGCTCTGCCTGCTGTGATTATTCTACTGACACTCTTGAGATGCTTTTGTTGAAGGAGGGAAAAGGATAGAAGAGGTACTTCTTCAGATGGAAGAAGAATACGAAGAAAGAAATGGCAGCAAATAAATAGAAGCTACTCACCATCATTCCACCTCCGTACATGCCCTGGGGGCCCTAAAAAGAAAACTAAAGGTAATTGTACTGTTCTGATATAATAACACTCTTGACTTGTTCAACTATGCCATCAATACAGGGTTGAAATCCAGTAGGTTCTGACAGGTTCTGGAGAACCAGTAGCGGAAATTTTGAGTAGTTTGGAGAACTGGCAAATACCACCTTTGGCTGGCCCAGAGTGGGATGGGAATGGAGATTTTGCAATATCCTTCCCCTGGAGTGGGATGGGAATGGAGATTTTGCAATATCCTTCCCCTGGAGTGGGGTGGGAATGGAGATTTTATATATCTACAAGATATATATATATATCTTGTAGATAATATATATATATATATAATCTACAAGATAATATATACATACATAGATACATAGATACATAGATACATAGATACATAGATACATACATACATACATACATACATACATGCATGCATACATACATACATACAGTCATGTTTGTATATACAGATTGTCTGTCCATAAAGGTGTCCTCTATATTATTTCTCATGCAGCTACTCAATCCAACCGGAGAATCTTCACCCCTATTTTGCTGCTGGAATTATTTTTAAGAGATTGGTTATTGGAAATTAAGGTAAAATCAGGCAAATTATTTTGGGGCCTGCCAGTTGACATGCTCTGCGTATTTTTGGAGCTTCTTTGGGTAAAGGAGGAAAAAAGCTAAAAAAAGGATACTTGTTCAAGTGGAAGTCGAATATGAAGAAAGAAATGGCATATAATAAACTAAAACTTATTTACCATCATTCCATTTCCACCGCCGTAATTCATACCCTAAAACAGAAGCAAAAGGTAACTGTTTCATACTGATATAATAACAACCTTGACTTCTCAAATATGCCATCACTATCATCTTTTGGATCTGGTGTATGAATTCCTTAAGTGTCCAGATAAAAGAAATAGGTTTAATTTCATACAACATAGAAAATTTTCATTTCATAGAAAATGAAAAGATACTCCTGGTTGTATACACAATTTTATCTCTCCACCAGTATCTCCTCTATATGATTTCCCATGCAACCTCTCAGTCCCAAGAGAAAATAAATAAAAGCTACTTACCATCTGTCCTCCTCCTGGCATGCCCTAAAAGGGAAACAAGAGACAACTATCTTAATCTGCTATAAGATCATCTATGATTTTGCCAACCGTGCTATCACTAACAATGTTAGTGTCCCATATGTGAATTCCTTTATTTTCCAGATAAAAAATATGGGTTCTTTCACACGACCTCGAGTGAAAGGGTCCCAATAGACACGGATATATTCATGTCCCATAAAAGAAATACATTTAATTTCATACATTATTTGAGTTATTATTCTTTCATGAGTGAAAGAAACCAAATACTGCACATTGGCACCACGTAGATTGCTCATGACCCTTGAGGACAAAAAACAACCACTAGTGAAGGAGCTCTTCAGAGGCCCCCTCCTGTATGTACGAATAATCCCTTGGCAGAAGTGAGAAGAGGCCTTCCTCGTACTTATCACAAAATGAAGTCAGATTCATCCAGGGACCTCTTTTCTCAGAATATAGTGGTTGAATTTTGTTGGATACAGTCAGTGGTGGGATTCAAATAATTTAACAACCGGTTCTCTGCCCTAATGATTTCTTCCAACAACCAGTTCACCAAACTGCTCAGAAAGTTAACAACCCGTTCTCCTGAACTGGTGCGAACTGGCTGAATCCCACCAATGGATATAGTCAGTGGTGGGATTCCAGCAGTTCGCACTGATTCGGTAGAACCGGTTGTTAAGTAGTTAAGTAGTTAAGCAGTTCGGAGAAAGATTGTTAAAAGAAATCTCCTTTTGTTTTTTTCCACTTTACAGGGTTAATCCTGTTAATCTCGGGGGCTGAGTGGGCGTGGCCAGAGTGGGCGTGGTCATGGTAGGCATGTTTAGCTCAATACCCTGCAGCCCTCTGCTAGTGAAAACGGAGCCCGGGAGGGCCAGCAGAGGCACAGCGGGCCAATTCTTCATTGTTTTCAGGCAGCCCTGCAGGCCAGATTTAAATACCCCATGGGCCAGATATGGGCCCCAGCCTTGAGTTTCATACACCTGCTCTAGACTCTTTCTCTCACCCAGTGTCTACTTTCTCCACCTTATTCTACTCCAAAGAATTTAGTAAATGAAAAGATATTCCTGCATATATATACAGTTTTATCTCACCAGCAGTATCTCCTCTATATGATTTCCCATGCAACCTCTCAGTCCCAAGAGAAAATAAATAAAAGCTACTTACCATCCGTCCTCCTCCTTGCATACCCTAAAAGGGAAACAAGAGACAACTATCTTAATCTGCTATAATGTTCAGATGGAAGATGAACATGAAAGAACGAATTGATAGAATAGTAGTAAAAGCTTCATACCGTTCCACCTCTGCCTCCGCCCTGCCTGTTCTAAAAAAGGAAACAGAAGGTAAGTGTTCAAATCTAATATAATATCACCGGTGGTGGGATTCAAATAATTCAAATAATTTAACAACCGGTTCTCTGCCCTAATGATTTCTTCCAACAACCAGTTCACCAAACTGCTCAGAAAGTTAACAACTGGTTCTCCCGAAGTGGTGCGAACCGGCTGAATCCCACCAGTGAATAACACCCATATCCTCTCCAACCATGCCCTCACAGGTATTTTTGGTATCTGGTATATGAATTCCTACATTCTACAAGTAAATTATATACATATTTCATTCAGTACGCTCCCATAGAGAGGGGCTCCTCCGGGTGCCGTCGGCCAAACAATGTCGACTGGCGGCCCCCAGGGGGAGAACCTTCTCTGTGGGGGCACCTACGATCTGGAACGAGCTCCCCCCGGAGATACGGAGGATCCCAGATCTGCGTACCTTCCGCCGCGCGCTCAAGACTTTCCTATTTCATCAAGCTGGCCTGACCTAAGTCTTTCCCCTTTTTAAATGGTAATTTTAAATTTGGTTTTAAATTATTGGGATTTTAAATTTCTTCGGCCAAATTATTTAATTCGTTTTATTCTATTTTAAATTTTGTATTTATATGTTTTATTCTATGGCTGTTCACCGCCCGGAGTCGGGCGGGTAGGGCGGTATACAAATTCAATAAAATAAAATAAAAATAATAAATAAAATATAACCTGGAAAGAAAATGACCCAAATCGCACACATGTATAAAATTGTTCAGATGTGTTTCCTTCATCTTTTCAATATTTTTACCCATTCACACAATGAAAATATCTACACAGAAACATGCTTGCAGGGAATTTTGGCTTGTATGGGATTTATAGATTAACACAGGAGCCGGTTAGTGCGTGCATGTTGCTCATACATGCGGCTTCCACGCCTGTGCATGGCTTGAAAATGTAGCTAAATAGGATGGCAGAGTGCCAGGGTGAGAGGACAGGCCCACCAGCAGGTTGCTACTACCGGTTCAGCCAAACTGGCCCGAATTGGCTGAATACCACCTCCGAACCCACTGCTCGCATGAGTGAGCTGCATATGTGCCCTGGTCCATCACTCACAGAAGTGGAGCTGCACACACACATGTGTCCCAACCCGCTGCTCGGACACGACTCCTCCTATAGACCAGCTATGACCATTAAAGATTGAAACCAACAAGAGAGATAAAACTGCATTTGCAAGACGTCTATATAAAAAGGAAGACTTGAGAGGATTCAGAATCCTGCATACAGGAGGCTAATTTGGTTGGGTACAAGATTTAGCAAGGTAAGTGAACTCAGCAGCAGTGAATAAAGACTTCATTTGCACAGTATATCTGGCCCACTCTCATCATGGAAAGCTACTTTCCGATTCAGTTTCATTCAGCCCTCTCTCTTATGCCACTTCCACCTCCTCCACCTCCTTCTACACAAGAGGTCAGCAACCTTAAACACTCAGAGAGCCATTTGGACCAGTTTCTCACAGAAAAGAAAACACCGGGAGCCACAAAACTCTTCCTGTGCCTGACTATTCCCTGAGCAGCCACAAAGCTAGCATATATAGTTGAATTAAAGATTCTGTTTTCTTCTGAAACTTTTATTTTCTTGGATTTATCCATGGTTGGCCTACCGGGGGTCGAAAAGCTCAATAAATTGTGTGCCACCAGGCATCGCACATTGGCAGTTGTGACACATATTTTGAGCCAAAGGGAGCTGCAGCAGAGGGATGAAAGAGCCACATGCGGCTCCAGAGCCGTGGGTTGCTGACCATATAATTTAGAAAATAAAATGATAGTCATTATTGTAAATAGAGTTTTATATCTCCACCAGTATCTCTTCCATATGATTTCCCATGCAACCTCTCAGTCCCAAGAGGGGGTAGTTACCCCCACTTGGCTGAGGGATCTATTTTCCCCTTTTTAAATGGAAATTTTAAATCTGGTTTTAAATTATTGGGGTTTTAAATTTGTTCAGCCAAATTATTTAATTCGTTTTAATCTATTTTAAATTTTGTATTTATATGTTTTATTCCATGGCTGTTCACCGCCCTGAGTCCTTCGGGAGTAGGGCGGTATACAAATTTAATAAAATAAAAATAAAAAATAAAAAATCGTCAGATATTGGAAAGGAAGGCACACACACAGGCCAGATGTTTTGGCTCTCCCTGCTGTGATAGTTTTCCAGGCACCCTTGAGAGGCTTTTGGTGAAGGAGAGAGAAAGATTTGAGAAAAACCTCTTCAGATGAAAGAACAATATGACAAAAGCAATGGCAGAAAATAAACAAGTTACTTACTCTCCTTCCACCTCCTTGATTGCCCTAAAAGGGAAACAAAATGTAATTGTTCTACTCTGATATAATAAGACCCATGATAGTTTTCGCCCAAAACTGGAAAAACAATGACATACCATCAGAAGACAAGGTGATTAGAAAAATTATGGAGTGTGTGGAAATGGATAAGCTCACAAAGGAGATACACGAAAAAGATGAAACAGAATATTACTTAGTCTGGGAGAAATGGTATAAATGGTTGGAGGAGAAAGAGGGGGGAGGGGGGGACAAAAGAAAACTAAGCAATGATTAAATTAGGTGGAGGAATATGGAAACAAATGGGAAGGTATAAATTGTGGAAAGGAAATCAGGTACCTGTTTATGTTAAATGTAAATAAAATATTTAGATTAAGAGAATATATATATATATATATACACACACACATATATATTCTATAAATATAAATAATTAATCTAAATATATATATATATATTTGCTTTAATTTATATGCTGCCCTTCTCCGGAGACTCAGGGCGGCTTACAATGCGTTAAGCAATAGCCTTCATCCTTTTGTATATTTATACAAAGTCAGCTTATTGCCCCCACAAACTGGGTCCTCATTTCACCTACCTTAGAAAGGATGGAAGGCTGAGTCAACCTTGAGCCTTGGAGAGATTTGAACTTGCAGAAATTGCAAGCAGCAGATGTTAATAACAGTGCTTTAGTCCACTGTACTACAGGCTCTTTAACGGTATTATAACGGTATATATAATATACTAGAAATATATGTATAAAAGATATTGTCAGCGTTCCAGAAAAACCCCAACTCCAAGTAAAGACGCGGAAGCAAACATTTTCCAAAGTTCTCTTTACTAGAATAGGCAAACTGGCACATCTGGGAAAACCCGAATCTGAAAAGCCCAGGTTTTCCTTCAGTAAGTCAAAGCTCCCAAAATCATCCCTGTTTCCCCCCAGTTGGTCACATGCTCCAATCAACGTCCGCTCCATCTCGATCCAGCCCCCTGACCATGCCTTCTCCAGATGCAGGATTGCCCTGACCTTGACCGACAGGAAGAATGCTATTATGTCTACTAACAACCCTTCTTCTTAATCCCCCCTCCTACTTTCCCACACAGGAGAAGGTTGCATCATGGAAGCTTCCGGCCTAATATGGCTTCCAAGGCTGACAGATATATTAAGATAAGAAAGAGAAAATGTATAAATATGGATTACTGATGCGAAGATGTTGAAAAGAAGAAGATGTAAACATCTGTTTTTGTTTGTTTGTTTGTTTTTTAAACTGTTTAATAAAAATTATTTTTTTAAAAAAAACAAGACCCATGACTTTGGTGCTATCTGTTGTAGTTATTCTCTGGGGTCTCTGGAGATGCTTTTAGTGGAAAAAGGATAAAAGGAGTGCTAGTTCAGGTGGAAAAAGAATATGAAGAAAGGAATAGCAAGTAATAAAAAAAAGCTACTTACCCTCGCTCCACCTCCGCCCTAAAAGGGAAATAAAATGTAACCATTTTAATTTGATATGATATCACCTTTGACTTCTCCAACTTATGCCATCATTATGATCTTTGGTGTCTTGCACCTGAATTCCATCCTTCTCCAGATTAAAAAATATGTATTCTTTAACACAACATGGAATGAAAGAATCCAAAATGACGCACCTGTGGTAAACTGTTCTGACAAGAGTTTTTCTTTCCTCATTACAGTAAGGATTCTCCCACATTCACACGATCAAAATATCCACACAGAAATATGCTTGCATTGAATTTTTGCTTGCATTAGATTTATAGATTAAGACATGAGTTGGTTCCTGAGTTGATTAGTAAACATAGCTCTTGGGATTAAAGTCTTCCAGGAATCTTGTACAATGTGATCATAGTTGATATGTGAATTTGGGGTCACCTTAATTATCTAACCAAGTCAAAGGAAAACCTATCTGCAGGTTTGACACAATCCTTTAAACCTGAATAGTTTCCAACTTGCTTGTGTTTTTTTTTCTTTAAATGTTCTATGGATTATTACCTTGTGTGAATGTGACCTATCTGATCTGCTTGCTGTTTAATATATTATGGAAACTACAGAAATGTGGTTAGAATTGCATGTACTGTGTAACATGAAATGGCAAACTAGGCTAGCAATATATAGAGCATTTCCATTTTAAAATAATAATGGTTATATGTAAGGATTCATCTGTCCAAGTCAACATTTTCCATACATGATTTTCCATGGAGTTATTTAGCAAGCTGGTCTCCAAATTCCAGAGAAGAATCATATCTAATTTCAGCTCAATTTCAGATTTGTGGTAATAAGAAAGACGCAAAGGGATTTAGGCCATCCTATGTCCTAATGCATATCCTCATACAGACATCATATTATGACAGTCATGGAATTCAACTGGGGGGAACAAAGAAAAAAAAATATTCATCTGGCGATCCACAAGGGAGATTCAAATTGAAACAGGATGATGTCAAAAAAAGTTGCAAGCTTTGATATGCTGAATGGCTTGACAACCTGATTAGGTTTACTCCTCCCTCCCTGTGATCCCCCAATGCAGTGATGGCGAACCTATTCGGCACCAAGTACCCAAACTGAAACGCATGTGCATGCATGTGCGCATGCCAGAGAACCAAAAACTTGAAGACCAGCTGACTGGTCTGTGCATGCCTGTTTTTTGGCCGGTTTTGGCCATTTTTTGGGCCATTTATGGCAGTTTTGGGGGCTGTTTTTAGGCTGTTTTGGGACCAATTTCAGGCCATTTGGGGGGCATTTTTAGCCCCCAAACGGCCTGAAAAACAGTCTGAAAAACGGCCTGAAATTGGCTCCAAAATGGCTCCAAAACGGCCTGAAAACAGCCTGAAAAACGGCCTGAAATTGGCTCCAAAAATGGATCCAAAATGGCCTGAAAAACAGCCTGAAAAACGGCCTGAAAAACAGCCTGAAAAACAGCCTGAAAAACAGCTCCAAAATGGCTCCAAAATGGCCTGAAAAACAGTCTGAAAAATAGCCTGAAATTGGCTCCAAAAATGGCTCCAAAATGGCCTGAAAACAGCCTGAAAAACAGCCTGAAATTGGCTCCAAAAATGGCTCCAAAACAGCCTGAAAACAGCCTGAAAAACTGCCTGAAATTGGCTCCAAAAATGACCCCAAATGGCCTGAAAAACAGCCTGAAAAATGGCCTGAAATTGGCTCCAAAAATGGCTCCAAAATGGCCTGAAAAACAGTCTGAAAAACGGCCTGAAAATGGCTCCAAAAATGGCCCCAAAATGGCCTGAAAAACAGTCTGAAAAACGGCCTGAAATTGGCTCCAAAAATGGCTCCAAAACGGCCTGAAAACAGCCTGAAAAATGGCCTGTTTTTTGGCCGTTTCCAGGCACTCCAACGCCCGCGAAGACCAGCTGGCTGGTGCGGGTGCCTACATGAGAGGGCGCTGTGTGCCACTTCTGGCACGCGTGCCATAGGTTTGCCATCATGGCCCTAATGAATGAGATAGAGGGTCACTCTTACTTTCTTTTTCAAGCCCACTCTGTTTCCAATGTTTAAAACAAGTTTTTCCAATCATCCTCAAAGGCTAACTTCTCCGTAGGATATGTCTCTCTACAAACCCATCCTGTACACGTTGCTAAGAATATTTGATATCCTATAGGAATTGGTTCTGGAATATCAGCTTATGGGAAGTGTTAAGAGGAAGTGATCACATACACAAAGAATAACAGAGAAGACATCAATGAAATGAGAGACATTAAATACACATTGACTTACCCCCTGGTTATGTGACCTTCTACCTTGTCTTCCACCATTTGGATTCTTCAAGAAGGAGAAAAAAGTCATTCTGGATTACGGATGTCTTTGAAATTCTGTGGTGACAATTAATGCCGCTATGGGCCATACCTGGTCTCTTAAGTTTATTCAAGTGAAATGGGGTTCTTTCAGTCCCATAGAAGGGATTGATTTGATTTGATTAATTTAATTTTGTTACCAGCTGACTCTAACAATGAAACCAACAGCATAAAACATTGTACAATATTTGCAAGAAAATAAAAGATGTGAAAGATGTGACATGACTAAAGTACTGTATTTTTTGGAATATAAGACGCACCGAATATAAGATGCACCTTAGTTTTGGGGAGGAAAATAGGGGGAGGGGGGAATTCTGCCTACCAGGTATTAATCTAGTCCCAGCACATTAGTTCACTCGCTGGTTTTGAGGTTGGGGCTGGTTGGGGCTAAAAAACAGCTTCTAAAGCAAGCTGATTGTTGGAGGGAGCAGCAATTAGAAAAGCAGGCAAAGCGCGGAAGATCGCTTCGCTCACGGTGGGGCTGAAAAACAGCTTCAAAAGCTGATCCTTGGATGGAGCTCCAATGACTAAAGCAGGCAAAGTGTGGAAGGGGTAAGAGAAGACAGCAGCTGTTCCAGGTAGCCATTTTGGGCATCACGCAGGGTTACATTCGGAGTATAAGATGCACCCAAATTTTCAGCCTCTTTTAGGAAGGAAAAAAGTGTGTCTTATACTCCGAAAAATGCGGTAGATAAGGCCATGCCAACCTCTAGAAAAAAAAAAAAACACCAGGGAAAAATATATGTTATTTTACACAAAAGGGAGTGAAAGGAGCTAAAAAGATGCATATTTGCACAATGTAGTTCAGTCATGACTATTAGAGAAATAACCAGTAGGAAGAAAGCTGTGAGTTGGCCCCTCTTGTATGCAATGAAGTTCACTTGGGGGATTCTGAAAAGGCCTTCCTCACACTTACCACAAAAGGAAGTGGAATTGTGACAGGGACCATTTTTCTCTGAACACAGCAGCAGTATTTGGTTAGCTACAGGATTTACAAGCAATTGGAACCCAGAAATCAGTAAGGACTTCCTTCGAACATTATAATGGGACATCCTCATAATGGAGAGCTGTTTTCTCATCTACTTTCACCTGGCCCGGGGTCGGCCATCTTAAACACTCAGAAAGCCATTTGGACCAGTTTCCCACAGAAAAAAAAAAACACCAGGAGCCACAAAACTCTTCCCATGCCTGACTATTTCCTGAGCAGCCACTAAACTAGCATATATAGTTGAATTAAACTTTATTCTGTTTTTTTCTGAAACTTTTCTTTTCTTGGATTTATTCATGGTCAGCCTACCAGAGGTCGAAAAGACTAATAAATCGTGTGCCAGCAGGTGTCGCACATTGGCGGTTGTGACACATATATTGAGTGACAGGGAGTCACAGTGGAGGGATGAAAGAGCCACATGCGGCTCCAGAGTCACCCCACCTCCTCCATTTCCTTCAAGACCAAATAAATTAAAACATGACAAGAGAGTTATGATCATAGAGACAGATTTCTCTACCCATCGAGATCACTTTAACATGATTTCCTGGTGCAGGTACATGAAATAAACCAGTCTTTGAAACTTTAAAACCAGTCTTTGAAACCTGAAAACTGGTCCAGAATGCGGCCGCGCGGGTGGTTATGGGAGCGCTCCATGGCTTAGGACCTGGGTACCTACGAGACCACCTTCGGCCACCGGTAGCCTCTCACCAGCCAATATTCATCCATAGTCACACAACCACAAGGTGCACAGAGAAAAATGCTTGCAGTGAATTCGTGCCTTAATGCACCAATTTGTTGCCGAGAACAGAGGACCTTTAAAGTTAAAGTCCTTTCAGGAACCTTAAACAATGCAATCACATTTCATATCTGAATATGACTTCACGGTTAGTGACCTAATGTAATTAAAGGCAAGCCTACCGCCCGCATCGAAACAACGTCCTAAACCTAGATAGCCTTTATCTTGGTTGGGATTCTTTTAATTCATCAGTTGATTACTATTTTGTGTGTACATGGAGCTATTTGCTCTGCTTGCTTATGGAAACTGCAGAAAGTTAGTTAGACTAATAGCCAGAATAAGCATTTTCCATGTGTTGTGTTACACAAAGCAACAGACTAGGTTAGAGATGGCTAACCTTTTTTTCCTCAGGTGCCAAAAGCGTGCGCACACATGCCTACACCCATAATGCAATGCCCCTCCTGCATGCCCAGCCCAAGTGGTGAAATATAAAATTTGTTACTACCGGTTCTGTGGGCATGGCTTGGTGGTGGTGGTGGGGTAATATGACTGAGTGGGCGTGGCCAAGTTTTTGGGGTTTTTTTAACTTTTAAAACCATTTTTTCTACAACCTCTTCGGCTGAAAAGGTTGTTAAAACAATGCTTTTAAAGCCTCTGACGATCCCAGCTGACTTGCCTGATCGGCAGAGGCTTTTTTTTCCTTTTAAAAACATTTTTTCTATAACCTCTTCAGCCGAAGAGGTTGTAGAAAAAATGCTTTTAAAAGCCTCTGATGATCCCAGCTGAGCTGCATGATCATCAGAAGCTTTTTTTATTTTTTACTTTTAAAACATTTTTTCGGCCAAAGAGGTTGTAGAAAAAATGATTTTAAAAATAAAAAAAAAAGTCTCTGATGATTGCGCGGCTCAGCTGGGCAATGGGGTGGGGGCAGGCATTTTTGCTACTGGTTCTCCAAACCACCCGCCTCCATCGCTACCGGATAGGGCGATCCGGTCTGAACTGGGAGCATTTCACCCCTGCCCTGCCCCCCTGCACATGCGCGCACTACACCCCCCCACTGCGCATACGCACATGACCAAAAGAGCTGGGGGGGGAAGCCTCCCAAAACAGCTGGGAGGGGGGGAAAAAAGCCTCCCAAAACAGCACTGGGAGGGGAATCTCTGGAGATCTGGGAAGGCACAGGCAGCAAAAAGTGAGAAGAAAGGTAGGTCCTCCACTTATGCTCATGCATCTCCTGCTTGCAGGGCAGACCTGAAAATTAGCGTGGGCACATGCGCAGTGGAGTTGAGCTGGGCGACAGCTCACATGCCCGCAGAGAGGGCTCCACGTGCCACCTGCAGCACGCATGCCATAGGTTTGCCATCACGGGACTAGGTTATCAAGGTAGACTTTTGCTTTATTAAATGTATTACATCATTTGAAAAAAATCTCCTTTGTGGGGTTCCGCATGCATCATCATGAACATCTCATCCCTTGTCATGCTTCCAAAAGGAACATCGTTCCAAAGGTATTCTGATATGATAAGATCCGTGACTTCTCTAACCATGAAACCCACCATTGGTTCAGATGAAAGAATATGAAAGAAAGGAATAGCAGAAAATAAATAAATAAAAGCTACTTACCATCATTCCACCTCCAACGGAGCCACTCGCACCCTAAAGGGGGAAAAAAAAATGGTTTTACTCTGTAATGTTAATGCTCATGACTTCTCCAATCCATGTCATGATCAATACGTTAGATATCCCTCTCTGTTTTTTTTTTTAATTTTTTTTTTATCAAATTCAAACTCTGATAGGGAGATCAGCAAAGAGCAGCCAGTTCAAGAGATGTCAGGCATTCCGTTGCCTAAGGAGTTGCAAGCAGAGGACATGGTGCCACCCAGTAGCACTTTACAATACTCTCTAAAAGGTTTACAGAGTCAGCATTTTGCCCCCAACAATCTGGGTCCTCATTTACTGATCTTGGAAGAATGGAAGGCTGAGTCAACCATGACTTATTCAAGTAAGCCATCGGTACCATATTTGGTGTCTTGTATATGAATCCTTCATGCTCCATAAAAAGAAAGAAAGGAAGGAATGGTACAAAACCAATAAAACCTACTTGCATTCCAGGTCCACCATCGTAATTCATGCCCTAAAAAGGGGAAAAATGGGACTGTTTTAATCTGATATCACCCGTGATTTATTCAATTAAGCCATCAGTACAGGGGTGAAATGCTCCCGGTTCAGACCGGATCACCAGTAGGGATGGTGGCGGGTGGTTCGGAGAACCCGTAGCAAAAATCCCTGCCCCCACCTCCCATGCCCAGCTGAGCCATGATAGGCTCTTTTTTCACTTTTAAAAGCATTTTTTCTACAACCTCTTCAGCCGAAAAAATGCTTTTAAAAGTAAAAAAAAAAAAAAAGCCTCTGATGATCGCGTGGCTCAGCTGGTATCATCAGAGCCTTTTAAAAGTATTTTTTCTAATCCTCTTGGCCGAAGAGGTTGTAGAAAAAATGCTTTTAAAAGCCACTGACGATTCCAGCTGAATTGCCTGATCAGCAGAGGCTTTTTTTTTCTTTTAAAAGCATTTTTTCTACAACCTAGAAAAAATGCTTTTAAAAGTAAAAAAAAAAAAAGTTGGTCACACCCACCCAGTCACATTAACCCCCCAACCCCCAACCAAGCCATACCCACAGAACCGGTAGTAACAAATTTTACATTTCACCACTGTACCATATTTGGTGTCTCATATATAAATCTTTCATCCTCCGTTAAAAAAAATGAAGAAAGGAATGGCACAAAACCAATAAAACCTACTTACAGGCATTCCAGCTCCACCACCGTAATTCGTGCCCTAAAAGGGAAGAATTGGAACTGTTTTAATCTGTTATCACCCATGACTTACTCAATTAAGCCATCAGTACCAGATTTGGTGTCTTGTATATGAATCCTTCATGCTCCATAAAAAGAAAGAAAGAAAGAAAGAAAGAAAGAAAGAAAGATAGAAAGAAAGAAAGAAAGAAAGAAAGAAAGAAAGAAAGAAAGAAAGAAAGAAAGAAAGAAAGAAGGCAGGCAGGCAGGCAGGCAGGCAGGCAGGCAGGAAGGAAGGAAGGAAGGAAGGAAGGAAGGAAGGAAGGAAGGAAGGAAGGAATGGCCCAAAACCAATAAAACCTACTTACAGGCATTCCAGCTCCACCACCGTAATTCATGCCCTAAAAGGGAAGAAATGGAACTGTTTTAATCTGTTATCACCCATGACTTATTCAATTTTTTTTTTTAATGATTTATATGCCGCCCTTCTCCGAAGACTCAGGGTGGCTTACAATGCATTAAGCAATAGCCTTCATACTTTTGTATATTTATACAAAGTCAGTTTATTGCCCCCACAAACCGGGTCCTCATTTTACCTACCTTAGAAAGGATGGAAGGCTGAGTCAACCTTGAGCTGGTGAGATTTGAACTTGCAGTAACTGCAGGCAGCTGATGTTAATAACAGTGCTTTAGTCTGCTGCGCTACCAGGGCTCTTAAACCCTGGTAGCGCAATTAAGCCATCAGTACCATATTTTGTGTACCATATTTTGTGTACCATATTTTGTGTACCATATTTTGTGTCTCATATATAAATCTTTCATACTCCATAAAAAGAAAGAAAGGAAGAAAGGAATGGCCCAAAACCAATAAAACCTACTTACAGGCATTCCAGCTCCACCACCATAACTCATGCCCTAAAAGGGAAGAAATGGAACTGTTTTAATCTGATATCACCCATAATTTATTAAGACATCAGTACCATATTTGGTGTCTCGTATATGAATCTTTCATACTGTATTAAAAAAAATGAAGAAAGGAATGGTACAAAATCAATAAAACCTACTTGCGTTCCAGGTCCACCACCATAATTCATGCCCTAAAAGGGGGAAAACATGGGACCATTTTAATCTGATATGATATCACCTATGATTTCTCCAACCAAGCAATTGATACTCTATTTGGTGTCTTGTATATTGATTTTTCATGCTCTAGAGGGAAAGTATGTGTACTTTCACACAACCTGGAGTCAAAATGTCCCAAAAGACACACATCAGTAGTGGGTTCTACTTACTTTTATTACCGGTTTGCAACGGGGCCGTGCGTTTCACGTTTCACTTCTTATCCAAGAAGCCTCTTCAGCTCTGACAGGATAGTGTGGAATAGAAGGATTTATATTCTTTGCAGACAGACAGAATATAAGTCCTTCCATTCCCCACTCAGGGCTGAAGAAGCTTCTGGGATGAGAAGCGAAATGTTTTCAAAAGAAAAAACAAGGAAGTCCAGTTGCCTCCTGAAAAAAAGCACCTTTGGGACAACCATGACCTGGATGACTGAGAATCTCTACAGACTTTCAACAGAGACAAAGTTGTGCAGTTGCCACCTATCTTTGTGAAAATGGTGCCTTGAGAGGATTCAGAAAAGGCCTTCCTCACACTTACCACAAAATAAAGTCATATTGTATTAGGAGCCACTTTTCCCTGAACAAAGCAATTGCATTTAGCTAAGTGTAAGAAATTTTAAAAGGGACCTGGTGGCTCAGTGACTAAGATGCTGAGCTTGTGGATCGAAAGGTTGGTAGTTCCATGTGTTCGAATCCCGAGTGCCGTGTAATGGGGTGAGCTCCCGTTACTTTTCCCAACTTCTGTCAACGTAGCAGTTCGAAAGCACGTAAAAAATGTAAGTAGAAAAATAGGGACCACCTTTGGTGGGAAGGGAACAGCGTTCCGTGTGCCTTTGGCATTTAGTCATGTCGGCCACATGACCACAGAGACGTCTTTGGACAGCGCTGGCTCTTCAGCTTTGAAACGGAGATGAGCACCGCCCCCTAGAGTCAGGAATGACTAGCACATATGTGCGAGGGGAACCTTTACCTTTTTTATGGAAAGGATGATACAAAGACACCAAACATTTTGGCCTTGCCTGCTATAATTATTCTCTGGGGATTTAGGATGTGCTTTTGGTGAAGGAGGAAGAAGGCTAAAAGGGGTACTTGTTCAGGTAGAAGAAGAAAATGAAGAAAGGAATGGCATAAAACAAATCAAACCTACTTACATGCTGTCCACCTCCACCTCCACCTCCACCAAACATGCTCTAAAAGAGGAAATCAAGGGAACTGTTTTAATCTGATATGATATCACCCAGGACTTCTCCAACCAAGCCATACCTGGGAGGAACTTTTGAGCCCTGGACATTAGTATTGACCATTAAAAATAGTAATCAGTAGAGACAAGTTGTGCATTGGCCCCTTCTTTGTGCAAAAAAGCTCCCTTGGAGGAATTCAGAAAAGTCATTCCTTTCACCTCTCCAAAATGGTTGCATTAGAGACCACTTTTCTCTGAACATAACACTTTCATTTGGTTGGTTATGGGATTTAGCAAGTAATGAGAACCAAGCAGTCAGTAAGGACTTCCTTGACACATTATATCTTGGACATCCTTGTTACAGAAAGCTGTTTTCCACTTCACTTTCTCCTTGTCCCTCTCTCCTATGCCTCCCTCCACTTCTACCTCCTTCTACTCTAGGTAAGTTAGAAAATGAAATGGGTCATGGTTGTACATATACAGTATATTTCTCTGTCCATCAAGATCTCCTTTACATGATTTCCTGTGCAACTATCTGAAGCAAACTGGTCTTTGAAATGCCAGAGAATAATTTTCTGTCCTCTTTTACTGGTTGGTTTGTTTGTTTTTTACAAATTTCTACTCAAATTCAGATTTTTGCAATTGAGAAAAAGATCCAGAAGGGACATAGGTCATCTTACGTCCTAATGCAAATCTTCATACTGAAATCATGCTATGTCAATAATGGAATTCCTCTGAGGGAACCAGAGAAGGAATAATGAGTCTGGAGATCCACAGGAGAAATTCACAGGGCAAATATAATGATGGGGAAAATTGAACAGCAATATTTGGTACATCAAATAGCTAGAAAATCTGACTGGGTTTTCCACTCCTTCCCTTGATCCTCTAGTGGATGCAATGAGAATAAGTTTTAGGTTCCTCTCTCCTGCTTTCTGTTTCCAGCGCTTAAAATCTTTTTTCATTCCAACCACTATCCCTATCTAGCTGCTTCAAGGTTGCCTCCATGTGTTGTTGTTGTTAGTTGCAAAGTCATGTCCAACCCATCGCAACCCCATGGACAACATTCCTCCAGGCCTTCCTGTCCTCTACCATCCTCTGGAGTCCATTTAAGTTCACACCAACCGCTTCAATGACTCCATCCAGCCACCTCATTCTCTGCTGTCCCCTTCTTCTTTTGCCCTCAGTCTTTCCCAGCATTAGGCTCTTCTCCAGTGAGTCCTTCCTTCTACATTAGGTGGCCAAAGTATTTGAGTTTCGTCTTCAGGATCTGGCCTTCCAAAGAGCAGTCAGGGTTGATCTCCTCTAGGACTGACTGGTTTGATCGCCTTGCAGTCCAAGGGACTTGCAGGAGTCTTCTCCAGCACCAGAGTTCAAAGGCCTCAATTCTCAGGCGCTCAGCCTTTCTTATGGTCCAACTTTCATAGCCATTCATTGCAACTGGGAAAACCATAGCCTTGACTATACACACTTTTGTTGGCAGGGTGATGTCTCTGCTTTTTAGAATGCTGTCTAGATTTGTCATAGCTTTCCTCCCCAGGAGCAAGTCCCCATCTGCGGTGATCTTGGAGCCATGCCTCCATGGTTCTCTACAAATTCATCCTTTAAGGATTCCAAACACCTTCAAAATTTCTGTTGGATTTTTTCCTGGAATATGCTTACAGAAACATTAACATTAACATTAACATTACATTAAATGCATATTAACTTACTCCTTGGTTATTTGACTGTCTGCCACCTCTTCCGCCGCCACCACCTCTTTTCTACAAGAAGGCCAAAAAAAAAAAAAAAGTCAAACTGGATTACAGATTCCCTTCTTAAGTATTCTGTCGTGTTTTCAGCATGTGAGTCAGACTCGCTTGGGCCGCTGCAGTTTATAGAATTCAAAACGGGAGTCTTTAAAATTTGCAAAGGGTATTATTACGTTTTAATTTAATTTTTTCAGTTTAGACATCGCCCAACTCTAACAATGAAGCTAACAACGTAAAAAAAGAGAACAGTAAAAGAATAAAAGATGGGGAAAACATGACATGGCCAAAGTCGGTTAAGCCAGAGTTCACCAACCTTTCAGAACTCAGGGACCACAAAATTCATAATTTTAAATTCCGTGGACCACTAATATGATCTGCCTAATGACCGGCTGGGTGGGCGTGACTGGGTGGTCATATGACTGGGTGAGCGTGGCCAACTCGATGTCATTCACATCAAGGGGCACCTTGCCAGCCTCTACTCGCCCCTTCCCTCCCACCATTCCTCCCCTCCCTGCCTGGGCTCTGTAGGGCCCCAACAGGAAGCAGTTGTTGGAGCTAAGCAGCCACCATGAGAAAGAGTTGGCAAAACAGCTGGCTCAGTTCAAATTGAATCTGACCAAGAAGGAGGCTCAGCAGGAGCACCTCATTGAGGACTATGAGCATAGGCTTTCCAAGCAGAGGGAAGACCTGTGGGAGTGCAAGGCCAGGTACCGGTGCCTGGAGGCTCATCAGGCCGAGATGGTTAGCCAGTTCCAGGCCATGATGCAGTTCCACTGGAACAAAGCCCTGAGGCTCTTCGCCACCAGTGGCGCTTCCCTCCAGCCTTCGCCCAAAGCCCCACACCAGGAGGCTGAAACAGACCCCAAGTCAGAATTCCTGCCCCACTCCGACCTGCACAAAAAGACCCCAAAGGGGCAGACTCTCTGCAGCAACACAAATATTCATTGCACATATCCAGCCTAGGGGCCGTAGTTTGAGGACCCCTGATTTAGTGCAATATAAAAAATGCAAATAATTTTTCTGCGGACCACCAGTTGCTGACCGCCATAACAACCATTAGAAATATGCAGCATCAAGGAAGTCTATGAATCTAAGGAAAAATCAGGCCAAATATTTTGGCACTTCCCACTGTGGTTATGCTTTGGAGATGCTTTTGGTATTTGGGGGGGAGAGATAAAAGGGGTGCTTGTTCAGACATAAGAAGAATATGAAAGAAAGAAATGGCAGAAACTAATAAAAAAAAGCTACTTGCCATCATTCCTCCTCCTCCTCTACCACCACCACCACCGAGTAAGTTCTAAAGGGAAACAAAAGGTAACTCTGCTAACACCCATGTCTTCTCCAACCATGTCATCACATATTTTCAGTATCTCATATACAAATTCATTCATTCTTTTGCTAACTTGCATGTGTTTAACACAGCATGGACTCATAGAGACCAGAAAAAAATTGCATGTGTACTAAATTGTTTTGCAAGGTTTTCTTCTTCCTATTTGCAATACCAATCTGCATGCTCACACCAACAATACAAATGGGTTGGATGGTGATGGGGTGAGATGTATAGCCATAACAACATTCTTTCACTTGGAGTTAAGGACATTCAGCCTGCACCTGGAGAGGCGTGACTGGGAAACAACTCCAGTGTCAGCACGTCAAGATGCATTTATCCTAGTGCTGATATGAGAAGGAGAATGCAGGCGTCTGCAACGGGACGGTTGCCTTTCACCTACTTATTTCCTCTGGAGATAATGTCCCCTAGGAGATGGATGGGAGGGGGGAATTCTTTGAATTGGAGCAGTAGATAGGGGTGAATGTTGGGAAGATGGCCAATGAGTGGGGGAAGGAAGAGGAGGGGTTTGGGGGCAGCATGTCAGTGCCGGCTACAACGAGTCGATGTAAAAAGTGCTGTGCTTAATAAAATGAAAGTTTGTTTTATAAAAGATTTTGTTTGCGATGCAATTTATTTGAAGACAGCCTGAAAACCTGACATCCAGTTAGGATGGTGACCTGATTGGACCATGTGATGAACATGTGGGTGCAGGGGAAGGGACTTTGGTTTTCTTTTGGGTGGGGAAAACCCGGGGACTTCAGATTCGGGTTTTCCTAGATGTGCCAATATGACATCTCTAATAAAATGGAACTTTTGAGGAAATGCCTGCCTCGGAGTCTTATATGATTGGGGGTGTTACTTGGAATTCTGACAAAGAATATGAAAGAAATAAATGGCACAAACTAATTTTAAAAAAGCTACTTGCCATAATTCCTCCTCCTCCTCCACCACCGAGTAAGCTCTAAAGGGAAACAAAAGGTAACTCTGCTAACACCCATGTCTTCTCCAACCATGTCATCACACATTTTCAGTATCTCATATGTGAATTCATTCATTCTTCTGCTAACTTGCATGTGTTTAACACAGCATGGACTCATAGAGACCAGAAAAAAATTGCATGTGTACTAAATTGTTTTGCAAGGTTTTCTTTTCCTATTTGCAATACCAATCCGCACGCTCACACCAACAATACAAATGGGTTGGGTTGGATGGTGATGGGGTGAGATGTATAGCCATAACAACATTCTTTCACTTGGGTTAAGGACATTCAGCCTGCACCTGGAGAGGCATGACTGGGAAACAACTCCAGTTAGGATGGTGACCTGATTGGACCATGTGATGAACATGTGGGTGCAGGGGAAGGGACTTGGACTTTTAATTTGGGTGGGGAAAACCTGGAAGCTTCAGATTCAGGTTTTCCCAGATGTGCCAATATGACATCTCTAATAAAATGGAACTTTGAGGAAATGCCTGTCTCGGAGTCTTATATGATTGGGGGTGTTACTTGGAATTCTGACAAAGAATATGAAAGAAATAAATGGCACAAACTAATTTTAAAAAAGCTACTTGCCATAATTCCTCCTCCTCCTCCTCCACCGAGTAAGCTCTAAAGGGAAACAAAAGGTAACTCTGTTAATACCCATATCTTCTCCAACCATGTCATCACACATTTTCAGTATCTCATATATGAATTCATTCATTCTTCTGCTAACTTACATGTGTTTAACACAGCATGGACTCATAGGGACCAGAAAAAAAATGCATGTGTACTAAATTGTTTTGCAAGGTTTTCTTCTTCCTATTTGCAATACCAATCTGCATACTCACACCAACAATACAAATGGGTTGGATGGTGATGGGGTGAGATGTATAGCCATAACAACATTCTTTCACTTGGAGTTAAGGACATTCAGCCTGCACCTGGGGAGGCGTGACTGGGAAACAACTCCATTTAGGATGGTGACCTGATTGGACCATGTGATGAACATGTGGGTGCAGGGGAAGGGACTTTGGTTTTCTTTTGTGTGGGGAAAACCCAGAGACTTCAGATTCGGGTTTTCCTAGATGTGCCAATATGACATCTCTAATAAAATGGAATTTTAAGGAAATGCCTGCCTCGGAGTCTTACATGGTTGGGGGTGTTACTTGGAATTCTGACAAAAAATATGAAAGAAATAAATGGCACAAACTAATTTTTAAAAAGCTACTTGCCATAATTCCACCTCCTCCTCCTCCACCACCACCACCGAGTAAGCTCTAAAGGGAAACAAAAGGTAACTCTGCTAACACCCATGTCTTCTCCAACCATGTCATCACACATTTTCAATATCTCACATATGAATTCATTCATTCTTCTGTTAACTTACATGTGTTTAACACAACATGGACTGATAGAGACCAGAAAAAATTGCATGTGTACTAAATTGTTTTAAAAGGTTTTCTTCTTCCTGTTTTCAATACCATTCCACATACTCACACCAACAATACAAATGGATCTCTCTTTTTTTGGTGATTCCCTCATTTAGCACACATTACAGTGATGGTGATGATGATAAAGTAACTGCAACCAATCCTCATATGATCCTCAAAGGTTGGTCAAGAAGAGCAAAGTATTCCAAATTCCTATTAGAATTGCTCCTGGAATATCGGGAGATGCATCTGGGAATTGAGTCTCAAGAGAATATCTATGATTACATAAAGGAAATGACAGACATTAAATCCATACTGACTTACTGAAAGCAGGCCACCTCCACTGCCACCCTGCAAGAAGGAGAAAAATAAGGTCATCCTGGATTATAAACCGTTGCCCGGGATTTTTTTTTTTAAGAACCAATCCCCCTTACCAGAGGGAACCCCCCCTTGTAGAGTACTGTGAAGATGTTACCATGGCAACTCCACTGTGCTGTACAGTAGAATCCATTTTAAGGCACAACAGGCTGTATCTTAACAGAACTTAAATCCAAAATACACACTATCACTGTCAAAAGTACTATGATTTGACACTATAGATATAATTCATTCCTTTTCATTTCAGCAGCCCAGGCGTTCCAGAATTATGCTGGACACACACACACACACACACACACACACACACACACACACACACACACCCAGGGGTGTTAGGGGTGTCTTATCCCCACAGTATTTTTTTTCCAGAGAGTAAGTCATCTGTGTACCAAGTTTGGTTGAAATTGCTCAAGGCGTTCCAGAGTTATGCTGGAACATACACACATACACACACAGAGCCATTTATATAGAGAGAGAAATTATAAAAATGGGCAGATTCCTCTGTCTATTGAGATCTTCTTTACATGGTTTCTTATGCAGCTATATGAAGCAATCCAAACTCTGAAATCCCAGAGAAAAATGCTATGACCTCTTCTAATTTCTAATAAATATTTAGCTCAAATTCAGATTTTTGCTGATCAGGGGAAAAAAAGGAAGCTAGGCTACCCTGAGTCCTAATGCACATCTTCATATAGACCTGCATGTTAGGTCAATAATGAAATTCCCCTGTGGGAAATGAGGAAGAAATTATGAGTTTGCAGATCCGTAGATACTGTACATTCATAGGGCAAACAGCATAATGTGTGAAAATATGGTGCAGGGCTTTGGTATACCAAGTAGCTAGAAAATCTGACTGGGTTTTCTCCTCCCTCCCTGTGACCTTCTACTGAGTGAGGCAAGAATAACTCTTAGCTTCTCTCTCATATTTTTTCTACTTTCAGATCTTAGAGCCTTGGTAGTACAGTGGTTTAATGCACCCTGTTATTAACACAGCTGCCTGCAATTTCTGCAGGTTTGATTCTTACCAGGCTCAAGGTTGACTTAGCCTTAGCCTTCCATCCTTTCTAAGGTAGGTTAAATGAGGACCCAGTTTGTGGGGGCAATAAGCTGACTTTGTATAAATATACAAAAGTATGAAGGCTATTGCTTAACGCATTGTAAGCCGCCCTGAGTCTCCGGAGAAGGGCGGCATATAAATCAAATTAAAAAAAACAAAAACTGTTTTTGCAAAAATTGTCTCTGCCTGATTTCTCCAAGGTCATATTCATAGCTCTCTTAAAAGTTCATCCTTTCAACATTCTTTACAATATCCAAATTCCTACTAGAATTGTTCCTGGACTTTCAGGAGATACTTTTGAAGGGTTGAGGGTTGAATCTCAAGGGGATGGCTGTGGTTATGAAGAAATACAAGAAATAACAGAAAACATAATGCAAGTGAGAGACATTCGATGCATGTTGACTTACTCCAAGCATATTCATCATTCCTCCTAATCCTCCTAATCCTCCACCACCACCACCAGATTGGCCATTCTGCAAGAAGAAGAAAGTAAGTCATCCTGGATTATGGATGCAAGATAAGGAACTGAACATCCTGATGATGTAAATACAATGACATGCAAGCTGTGGGATCATTGCATCAATTGTGAAGTTATTTCCTTGATGACACAATTCACCATAATTCAGTAGATATCATCATCCACATTTGATCTTTTGCCATCTTTCCCACATGGACATCTGTGGTGAGAGCCAAATCCCCCCTTTTCTGCTCAGTCCATAGGGGTGAATCTTCACCCCAATATGGCTGCTGCATCTATTGTTAAAGGGTCAGTGATTTGAAAGAAAAATAAAAAACCAAATACATTAGCTTAGGCTCCTGTAATCAGGGGTGGGCTGCTGGGGGTTTGCAGCGGTTCGAGAGAACCTCTAGCTAAGATTCTGTGCAGTTCGGAGAACCCCCAAATCCCACTCTTGGCTGGCCCCACCCCGCCCTTCCAGGAGTCCCCATGTGGCCCATTTTGGTTGCAGGTAAGTGCAGGATGTGCACGGAGGCTGTGGGAGGGCGAAAAATGGGTCTACCGGAAGTTCAGGAAGGCTGGAAATGGGCACATTTCTGGCCTCCAGAGGGCCTCCGAAGCCTGGGGAGGCTGGTTTTGCCCTCCCAGAGGCTTGAGGAAA